TGCTGTGGACTTGGGTATTCTTTCACTCATTGGGTTACAATCTGTTGCTGTCATGCTTCATTTTGGTGCTCTGCATTTGCTAATGGGAGCCCTTATAAATGGACTCCTAGTCCTTTTGATGTGTTTCCATCACTCTCTGAGTTCTTCCTTACTTTTCAGGACACGATGTTTTAGAATCATCCTGAACTTTCTCAACCCCAGTGGTTGAATCAATCATTTCTCCAAGGAGTCATGGTTCCTTTTGTGGAGAATGGTATGGAAAACTCAGAATGTGGGTTGTAAATGTGCTTATTCCAGCTGGGGCATCATCACTTGTAGGCCCTCTCAGCAGACACAGCTGGAGAACGTGTGTGTTTAAATGTGTTCGTGTGGATACATACATGTATATACATACACATATACATTTAAACATATGCATACACTTACAACTTAATTATTTCTATATCTACTTATCTGTACATTAAAAACCATGTGTTCTGGGACGCCTGGGTGGCTCAGATGGTTAAGCATCTGCCTTTGGCTCAAGTCATGGTCCCAGTGTCCTGGGATGGAGCCCTGCATCAGGCTCCTGGCTCAGTAGGGACCCTGTTTCTCCCTCACCGTATCCCTCTATTGTTCCCCCTTCTTGTTCTCTCTTGCTCTCTCTGTCAAATAAATGAATAAAAATTCTTAAAAAAAAAAAAGAGCTAAGTACTTGTTAAAGAAAAAAAAAAAGGACATGAGTTCATATTTGCTATGGATTGAATTGTGTCTCCCCAAATTCACATGTTGAAGCTCTACCCTCCAACAAAGCTGTCTTTGGAGTAAGGAAGTCATTAAGGTTAAGTGAGAGAGGTCTGTAAGAGTGCAGCCGCAATCTGATAGGATTAGCACATTTATATAAGAAGAGACACCAGAACCCTCCCTCTCTTCCTTCACCATATGAGGACACGGTGAGGAGGCGTCCTTGTGCAACCAGGGAAGAGGGCTCCCACCAGAAACCAGATGGGCCGGCACCTTGATCTTGGACTTCCTGCCTGCCCAGCTGCGAGGAGCACACATTTCTGTCGTTAAGCCACCCAACCTGTGCTATTTTGTTATGGCAACCCGAGCAGATTAATACAAAATTGACCTTTAATTCCAATGTACATGAGTCAGATTAGGTGTGGAGGTTTTGTTTTGCCTTCGAGGTTTGGTTTTGTTTCCGTGGTCGTGTTTCTGTACTGTACTGTTTGCCCATAGGGCTTTGCTCTTCTCAGTTGCTAAGTTCAGAGAAGAGGGCTGTAGCAAGTTGTCTTGTATAATGTCCCAAGCACAAGGGAGCTTCTTAAAAAGTTTACAATTACCAAGAGCACTTATCAACAAAAAGAGAGGGGACTCAAGAGATACACTACCGCTTGTCAGTGGAGGGTGGACGTTCTCTCTGGTCTCCCCAGAACAGGACAGACAGCAAGAAAAACCCATTGGAAGGGAACCATTTGCAAGAGCTGCATGAATGATCCCTGCAGGACAGAGAGGGAAGGAGCCAAATGCTGGTTTAGCGTCTGTAGCAAGGTCTGTATTGAGCCCTATGCCCACTGCACCTCACTTCATCCTCACAGGTGGGGATGGTTAGTTCCACTTTATAGAAGAGAAACTAGGAAAGCAGAGAAGTTAGGTTATTTGCCTAAGGTTGAACAGCTGGAACCCCTTTCCTAGACTCTACTCCCCTAGAAACTAGTACTCTGCGGAGCCATACTGGCAGCCAAGGCAACAGGAACATGTGCACTCCTATACACACCTATCGAAATAGTCTCTGAATTGAATGGAAAAAGTTGACTAAAGCCCCACAATCAAAAAAACAGGACCATACGTAAACCCTTGTGTCGCCCAATCGATTCACGCACTATTTTCAATTCTCATAAAGCTAACTGGCAGGGAGCATAAGGACGACCCATGTGGGAACCACGAGCTGATTAGAAAGACTATTCCCGTGGCAAAATGATACCAGGTCATAACACAAACAACAGTCTGCTTTTAAGTGTTGATATTTTGTTCACTGTGGATGTTTTACATTAATTTTGATTTTTAAAAATATTACATTAAAATATTTATCTTGATTACTGGTTGGTTGGTTTTGGTGTCCGCTTAAGTACTGCACCCAAGGAATATTCCTCACTCCCCTCACCTTAATCTGATCGCTGGTAAAACCAGGTCTTGGCCTGAATTACATCAGGGCTCCCTTCCTCACAGCTCACCTTCTCTTCCAAACAGGGCCATCCCTGTTATGGGGTGGATCCCAGATCTTCCATTCCTGCATGATGGAAGTGTCCTGTCTTCTCATCAGTCATACAGATGCATAAAGCTGTAACAATAGAAATGTTTCCATTGTGTGATAAGTGCATGGTCACATGCCTGCAAAAATGTTGGGAGACACCAGATGTTCTCCACCCAGCCTTAGTCACATCTGACCCAGAAGCCACAAGTTCCCAATTCCCACCCTGGTATGCTCGTCTGAGCTGCTGGCATCAGACATCCTAGGCTCTCCAGGCACTGAGATGCCAAGAGTTTGGCCTTCCTATTTCTGAGACCGGGGAACAGGGCATCCCTGTTTAGGACTCCATACACCCCTCTTTTTAGCCAAGCAGTTGGCTGAAAAGGCTTTGCAGCAGTGAGCACCTTCTATTGGAGACGAACATTGCTGACTTCTTTATTCTTTTCGCTATTTCCCTAGGTCTTCAGGAAAAGCAAAGAGAAACTGTTGTTAAAGCCCTTTTAACTACAGCAAAGCACTTGCTGATGTTGTTTTTGTGCAGGACAGAAAGAGGAACTGGAGACCATGGGATGAGGAAGAACAGCTCCCAAATATCCCTTCCATCTTGCAGAAAGGGACCCACAAATCCTTACTTGCTGGGTTTTACTCCTTTCCCCTCAGAACTTTTACAGAGGAGAGATCACACTTAAATGACCATGAAGGTCAGCTCTGGAGTGAAAAAGAAGTCAGGGAGACCTAGCTGCTTATTCCCATGCACCTTCCTGACCATATTTGAACCAGTGAACAAACAACTCACCTTCCAAAGAACTAAACAAGTGTTTATCAAGAACCTGTTGGGGGCACCTGGGCAGTTCAGTCGTTAAGCACCTGACTATTGATTTCCGCTCAGGTCATGATTTCAGGGTCATGGGATGGAGCCCAGCATTGGGCTCTGTGCTCAGCGGACGGTCTGCTTGAGATTCTCTCTCTCCCCCTCTACTTCTGTCCACTACGCCCCCCAAATAAATAAATAAACCTTAACAAACAAACAAGCAAAAACAGTGGACACTCCATCCACTCCCAAACCCTCTAATACAAGTTCCAAGCTGTGGGCAAAGTGACCTTCTAAAAACACAAGTTTTTCATGAGGATGAAATGAGCTACCATTTGCAATTGGCATTACTGGCACATGGTAAATGCTATGAAATATCTGTTAAACAGTATATATAATGTCATTCCCCTCAGAGAGTCAAATGGAAACTTTTTCACTGTCCGCCTCTGCCTTCTGCTCTCTCACCACTCTGCCCCTTCCTAGCCTCACTCCAAGTCTCATATCAAGTCCTCCTGAGTCGAGCTACCTCCTAGACTTTGCACATGCCATTCTCTCTTCCTTAAACACCTTCCCAGACCCACTTCTCTTCATTTGACCAACTTCAACTTCTCCTTCCTATCTTAACTTAAATGTTACTTCTTCTACCTCCCAGGACCTCCTACAGGGAGTTGAGTTTCCTCCGTTTGGCCCTTTTATTTTGTTTTATTTTTTTCTTTTAAAAGATTTTTTTTCAAATCTATTTGACAGAGACGCAGTGAGAGAGGGAACACAAACAAGCAGGGCGAGTGGAAGAGCGAGAAGTAGGCTTTCCGCTGAATAGGGAGCCCCATGCGGGCCTCCATCCCAGGATATTGGGATCATGACCTGAGCCGAAGGCAGACGCTTAGTGACTGAGCCACCCAGGCGCCCCAGACCCTTTTATAATGTTTATCACAACTGTAATCACCACTAAATGTTTTAAGCTTTTTAAAGTCTGCCTTCCTTACTAGGCTGTAAATTCCCCCAGGGCACAAGCTTATAGACGTCTCCTATTCACTACTTCTTAAGAAACTTGGACAGGGTGGGCCCTAATGGACCATTGTCCAATGAATTATAAAACTTTCCTAATACTGCTTATTTAGATAACTGGCTCAAGGTTGCACAGCTGATTTAAGATTTGAACCCACGGCATTCTAGCTTTGAAGCCCAAAAATCTCGCCATCCCTTCCTTTCCCTCAAAGCTGGAGCCAGAAGATAAGTGGTCCGTCTGGGTGGTGAATTTAAGGAACTGCGGATCTATTTGCAGAGGGCCACAAGCTGCAGGGAGCACGCCGCGGTGCGCGCTGGCCTACGGCCCAGGAAAGGGGGCACGCGTCACGTGTACCCTGCAGGGCCTGCCGCCGCCGCACCCCGAGGCTGGAATGCGGCCCCGCCCCGCTCCCGCGCCAGCAAAACCGCGCTCTCCCGGGGCACTGACGTCAATGAAGGGGACGCCTTCGGCCGCCGCGCTAGGGCGGCGGAGGGCGGAGGGCGGAGGGAAGGGGCCCCGGCGGACACGCCCCTCGCCGCTGCTCCGCGGCTGATTGGGCCCGCGGAATCTTCGCACTCAGGTTTCGAGGCCGGCGAAGGGAAGGGGGCGGAGCCTGGACACGCCCCTCTCTCCTCTGTTGCTGATGATTGGCCCACAGAGTCTCCACGTTCGATTTTGGAAGGCTCCCTCCGAAGCTCTCACCAAGGCTCGGCGGTGGATTGGCTCTTCCCCGCCTGGGGAACGCTTTCTCCCGGGAGTCGCGGCTGTGACCTAGGTGGCCCGCCTTGGGCGGCCAGGTACGTAGATCCGAGGGCTGGCTCGCGCTGCGGTGGGAGCGGGCGGCGGGCCATCAGAACCCGGGTGGCAGCGGCTACCCGAACCCGCAGGTCCACTTAGGGCCCGGCGTTGTGCGAAGCGGCCACGTCTGAGCCCCGGGGGCTGACCTGGGCCAGGATACCCCGTCCCAAGCTCTCGTCCTGTGGGTGAACGCCGCCAGGTCCCTGTGAGCCCCTTCGCAGCAGGAAGCGTAGAGCTACGCCCGCCCTTTCGAAAGGCCGTGAAGGGGTTGGAGTGCGCACATCTTAGCCTGCCCCATCCCGATTTGAGGTCTGTCGGCGCTGCCCTTCAGCGTGGTGAGTAATCGCTCTGACTCCTCACGGGGCCGTGGAGCGCTGAGGGCGCCGAGGCTGGCTTGGGAGACCTGACTTTCGATCCCTGCGCCTTCCGAAACCCGCAGAAGCAGATAGCAGGCTCGGAAAGGTTTCAGAGCCTCCTGGGTCGTGCCTTCCCCTGAAGACCTCGTCAGCCATCTGGCAGAACAAAAATAACAGTGGTTGAGGGGCTGGGCGCTGGGGTCATACTACCTGGGTATATTCAGCCTCACCACCTACCTCCTGTTTGACTTTGGGCAAGTTACTTAACCTTTCTGAGCTCAACTTTCTCATCTGTAAAATGGGTATAACCTATAACCATAGCGCCGCCTCATGGGGTGAGGATTAAAAAGATCACCTATTTGAAAGCGATGTTCTGTGCTTGACAGGGAGCAAGCTGCCTCAGTGGCAGCTGTGATTTTAAAGTGCACAGATGAATCCATCTCCCTTACCCTCATTTCCCAAGAGTAAAGATTCGTTTTGAGGGAGTTTCATGAAAATGACAATGATTCTATAGGGCCTGGTTGTTAAACAGCCTTTCCCTTACATCACTCATTCATGATGCAGTGTACTGGGATGGATGCTTTCACATACTTTTATCTCCCTTATTCCCTTATAGGTTATTTATTCTCACTTTTCTGATGATGAGCAAAATGAGGCAGGGGGAAACAGGCTTGTCAATGTCACCCGGTTTTCAGAAGCACAGCCAGAACTCAGGGTTCTTGAACTCTTGAAAAGAGTTATTCCTTCATCTAGAGTTTATTTTCCAGTCGTATCTGAGTATGGGTCTAGGGGTAGGGCCCAGTTCCTTTCTCCGCTTCCACATCAGGTTTGGAGACCTACGTGTATGCAGTTGTCTCAGTCACTGCTGGAGGAGGCTAGGCCCTGAGGCCTGGGGGGCTCACATGGCCATGTGGACTGGGCCTCCCAGTGGAGGAGCCACAGATTTTGGCTGCTGTCCAGTGGCGGGGGAGCAGGCCAGGGCCACAGCGTTGATTTGGGCCTTAGGCCAGAGCCTCCAGTTCTTTATCCAGGAGGCCCTTTGCCTCCAATTACAGACTATTACCATCAGCAGGGTTATCTGAAGGAGGGGAGCTGAGTGGGGAAGCAGTTGCTGCCCAGCTCATGCAAGTGTGTTCTGCCTCTCGTGGTTACCTGAGCCTCCCTGAGACCACGATCGTAATAGCTGTCTAAACTGAGCTTCACATACTACAAAGGATGCTCAATTGTGTACCCTATTTATGTATTACAAATTCATTGTCTGGTGAGTCACTTTTTAAATATACTTCTTCGTTAGAGCTCTCGCGTTCATTTATTGCCTATTTCAAAACAAGTTGAACTTTGTCATTTTCCACATTTGGTATTTACTTTGTGGGTTCACTTTTAAGCTAGTTTATGTCAAACTGAAGTATTTTGCAGTGAGTTTTTACTCATTTGCTCACAGACCCGTGTTTATATTCTTTGCTGTCAGCTCTGGAATGAAAGATCCATTTGTAATCTTTTAATATCCTTGCGGTGGCATTTTCCAGTTTAAAAAAAGTACCATTGTCCAAGTATACACTGATTTTCCTAGATTCAGGTCTTGTCCAAGAAAATAGGGGGGAAAGAACACATTGAATAAGATAAGAGAGGTTTCTTCTGGGGTGCCTGGCTGCCTCAGTCGGTGGAGCATGCCACTCTTGATCTCGGTCTATAAATTCAAGCTCCATATTAAGTGTAGAGATTACTTAAAAAATAAAACCTTTAAAAAAACCCAGTTTCTTCTGATAATACAAGTGTTCTGACTCGTTTTCCGGAAGTTTGTATCTAATCTTATGGAAACTCCACTGATTTTCATTCTCAGTCTGACTGCTGGCTCAAGCCCAGGGTGGCAGGCAGAGCTAAGAGTGAGGATCCTTGAAATCTGGAGGTCCCAGGGTGCATGAAGGGTATGTTTGAAGCTGGAGGCTTAGACTCCCCCACAAATTTTGTTGGTGTGTTTGTAATTCACTATAACTCGGACTCTAGAGGCTGGAGGTCGGGCCGTGTAGGGCCTTGTAGCCACACACAGGTGGCTAGGAATATCTGGGAAGTCAGGCTCCAAGCCATCCCTGAGACAGCACTGCTACTTAAGCTGGTTACCATTCTCTCTGAGGGGAGGGTGAGATTGCCCGAATCTGAGAGAAACGATACCACCTCTTCTCCCACCACCCAGACCAGCCTAGGAGTGTGTCCCAGGCTTGGTCGTAGCCAGCCTAGGTCCCTGGGGTGCCTTAGAGCGGTGAGTTCTCTGTCTTCTCCCAGACCTTAACCCCACATCCCACCAGCAAAACAGTGTCTTTTCTCCAGGGAAGATTGAGGAGGGCAGAAAAGAGGAACTACTGGTTGGGGAATTTCCTGGCACCTAATTAGCCAGGCCTGTCCACACATGCTGCGTCTAGGCCTTGGCAGCCAGGCAGACCCAGTCACCGCTTCCGTACAGACCTAGCCTCATCACAGAATCCCTAACACCACACATGTCCTTGGAGACCAGAGGCATCAACCTGTTCTTACAGATGTAAGGGGGAAACTGAGGCCCACAGAGGCGAAGTGCCGGAGGGCCCCCCCAGCCAGCAAGTGGCAGGATTAGGGCTCTGACTCAGAAGCCAGCACTGTGTGCCCTGGGCTTCGTTGCAGTTCCAGATCTGTTTTGTGGAAGCTGGGGATTTTCCTCTTCAGACTGCCACAGGTTCAAGGCTAGAACAGCAGGCCACACAGTAAACAGCTCTGACGCTAATGAAAAGATTAAAATAAATTCTACAGCCCCACCCTTGCCTTATGTGTGGGCTGGCCATGGTTCTTCCTTTTCCACCGGCAGGTTTCCCACTTGGTGACTTCGATGAGAATAGTGAAATATCCCTCACAGAGATGACAAGCCAGCAGCATGCTTGGAGCTTGGTTGTGAAGGCAGCTGAGGTTTTCAGACACATCTGCAGCCCTTCACACCAGGTCCTGGCCTTGGCTGAGCCCCTGGCATTGAATCTGTCTCAGCTTCCTGTGCTCCTCTGAGCTGGGAGGAGGGTAATGGTGCCCGATTCCTGGAATTACGTTGAGGATGAACCATCATGCATATTGTCGTGTCGCCTGACGCAGAGTAGATGACCCAGAGTCAGCTTTTTTTATCAGCCTGAAAGTGTTCCCTGGTGACTGTTGTTTTCTGGTCACAGTACATTTTAATCATACAGCTCAGGAGAGTTCATTACCACACATACTAGGTTTTTAATTGGATTCTGTAATAGTGCCTATGGAGAGGTAGATTTTAAAATTCCCATTTCCAGATAAAAGCACAATTTTTATGGAGTTCATTCATCTGAAAGTTTTCTGCAGGTTTATTTTAGTTACTGAACTCTTTGAAGAGTGGGGTTCTTGGGGCACCTCGTGGCTATGTCGTTAAGCATCTGCCTTCGGCTCAGGTCATGATCTCGGGGTCCTGGGATTGGGCCTCACATCAGGCCCCTTGCTCAGTGGAGAGCCTGCTTCTTCTCCCATTCCCCCTGCTGTGTTCCCTCTCTCACTGCGTCTCTGTCAGATAAATAAAATCTTTAAAAAAAATGAAATGAAATCCCTATTTAAAAAAAAGAGTGGGGTTTGTTTAAGATTTTATTTATTTATTTGACAGACAGAGATCACAAGTAGGCAGAGAGGCAGGCAGAGAGAGAGGAGGAAGCAGGCTCCCTACCGAGCAGAGAGCCCAATGTGGGGCTCGATCCCAGAACCCTGAGATCATGACCTGATCCGAAGGCAGAGGCTTAACCGACTGAGCCACCCAGGCGCCCCAAGAGTGGGGTTCTTATGAGAGGAGGCCTAGACACTGGGACAGGGTGAGTGTGGAAATTACTGGAATAAGGAGAGTTGCTATTGAGGTGAGGAGCAAGGGCCAGTTACATTTGAGGAGTCTGAACGCAATGGAGAGAGGTCTCAAACTCTCAGAACAAAGGCAGGTGAGAGTAAGGGCAGAGAAGCTGGGAATGCTTTATAGGATTTCCTTTCTGTTTGTTACAGTGAGCATGGACATTTTGTATTGAAATGTATTGATTTTTATTCCCTTTTTAGGCTAGTTCCTGGGTGACAGGTGTCTCCGTAGCTCTCTGGAATGAGGTGAGGTCTGGTGTAACTACCTGACCTTTGCCATTAGGCCTGGGGCTGAGGGGTGGAGGGAGCACAGGCAAGTCCTCTGCTGGTTCAGGCCCAAACAGCGGAAAAGGGACCCTATCATAACCTGACCCAAGTACAAAAGTCAAGGCCAAAAGGGTCATGGGGGTGGGGGTTATGAATCTGCATTTATTTGGCTCTTACCCTGTACCTGATACCACACTAGGCACGCTCAGCCCATAGAGCAATCCTGAGAAGTGGTTATGAGCCCGTTTACAGCTGAGCAAAGAGGCTCAGAGAGGTTGAATAACTTGCCTAGGGTCACCGCTAGGAAGGTGGCAGAGCTGGGATGAGTCCAGTTCTGTGTAATACCGAGGCCCTTGGTCTTGTCTCTAGTCTGCTTCCCAATCTCATAGCGTTTTCAGGCTGTACTGGAGACAAGGGTGGGGTGAGTGAGCCCCCTTTTATTATTATTTATTATTCAAATTGAACTCTCTAGAACTGAGGATGATCATTTAATTGAAATTTCATTTCCTATGAGGGGGCACTGACATGAGCCTTCCTTTTATCGAACTTTTTTTTTCCAGCCTCTGCCCACGGTTGCGTATTCTAACCCTGGAGCCGTCTCTTCGCCCCTGCGTTCCTCGCCATGGCTCTTTGGACTGAGCTAGATCTCCTTGTCTATTTCATACTGTGTTTGCTAAACTATTTGAACTTGGGCTCTCTCCAGGGTCTTGAAAATAGGTGGGATGACTGTTCTCCATGTTATAAATGGGAAAGCAGAATATTAGAACCTTGAGCACTGTTCTTACCACTGTCTTCCCTCAGTCCTCGCTGCAACTCTGTGAAGCAGAATTGGTGTGGGAACCAGCTGAGCCAGGCAGTGGTGGAGGTGGCTGGAAGTGGGATTCCAGTGTGGTCAACCCAACCCCATAACCCTCCTCTTCTGTGCTACAGAACCTGGGCCTTCGCATAGAGGGCTGCTGTGCACACGTGTCAAGGAGGTCACATGACTACAACTCCTAGAGCCATGCCCGGTACCTCTAAGTGCTGGACACCGCGCGGTGGCTACTCCCAGCACCATCCTTAGGACCTAGGTGTCCTGGGGTCGGCCTGGGCTTACAGCCAGACAGACCTGGGCTCTGCTCCCGGCTCTGCACTTATGCAAGGCTTTGTGGCTGCAAAGGATCATTTCAGCTGAGTTGCATTTCTTCATCTGTACGGTGCGGATAAACCATTCTGACGTCACAGGCTGCTGGGACTCCTCAGTGAGATAGTACGTGCATTGCACACATAAGCACTTTGTAATAGTTTGACTGTCATTAGTAATATTATTTCCCTCAGGTGCCCTGGAAGGTAGAGTGACTTTAAGTCAAGACTTACTGCACGTTAGTTCCTGGAGAATAGAAATGCCAGAAGGCTTGCATTCACCAGGACCCCAGGTCTGGGAAGGGCCCCATAAGCTGATGTCTCTCCATGCTTTCCTTCCCCAGAGCACCCAGGATGGGCACCCCGGCCTCTGTGGTGAGCGAGCCGCCCCCGTGGCAGGCCCCGGCTGAGGCCCGGGGCCGCAAGCAGGCATCAGCCAACATTTTCCAGGACGCTGAGCTGCTGCAGATCCAGGGCCTGTTTGAGCGCAGTGGGGACCAGCTGGCCGAGGAGCGGGCACAGATCATCTGGGAGTGTGCAGGAGACCACCGTGTGGCAGAGGCCTTGAGGAGGCTGCGTAGGAAGAGGCCTCCCCGGCCGAAACCCCTGGGCAACTCACTGCACCACTGCAGCCGGCTCAGGTGGGTTCCTGGAATTGGAGGGCGGAGGGAAGGTGAGCGCTAAGGCTGCCCCGTCCACCACCGCCCGGCGCTACTGACTTGGCCTCACTGTGAGTACCGGCCATGGCAGGGGCAAGGTCTATTCCGTGCCCATGATCTCTGTTACTATGGGAGTCATACTGGACCCCGTGAACTTCCACAGGAAGGCAGGCCTGGGTCCTGATTTGCAGTGATTCTCAGACAGGTGGGAGGGACTATCATTTGGGCGGAAGATAATTTGTTTCCTTGTGGTAGAACAGGTAACAATCACAAGTAAGCCTGGTTAAAATCTTGCCTGTGGAATTATAGACTATAGTGTAGGAGGGTTCCATAGAGGTACTGAGGTTGAAAAGTGTTGAGGAACTTTAAATTTTCCCTAGTCATCCGCCTTTGCCTACGTCACTGACAGCCTGGGAACAGCGAGCCCCAGGAGGTCAAGCTGAAACACATGGCCTAGCCAGTCGTTGTGGGTTATGCTCTGGGCTCTAATTCTTCCCGCTGCCTTCTTGGGGCCTCCAGTCAGAGCACTAGACTTGAACATGTCTTCTGAGTCAGCACGTCCAGGGGAAGCAGATTGGGCCCTTCCTCAGATGAACTCCAGCTGACTTGCAATCCCTGTTTAAAACAGTTTGCTAAGGAGGTTACTTGGTTCTTCCAGTCTCCTATCACGGCTGACCACTGATGACTGTCACGAGTGCAGCATGAGGAAGCTGGAGAAATGCCGAGTATCACACACCCTGATAAACCTAGTCCAGCTCTCTTTATGGAAAAGACATCTGAAAGCTTTGCCTGGTCTTTAGCTCTCAGAGGGCCAAAGCCCTGGGATTATTTTACCCCAAACAGTGTGATTTAATAGATCCTCATGACCACAATCTCTTTAATCCCCATTCTGCTCTTCCTATTGACATGGGCCTATCACACACTTGTTCTTGCAGAATCCCCGAGTCCTGCACTCCACTGGCTGACCCACAGAGTGGTACCACAGAGACAGCTTCTGATGATCAGTATGTGAACTCCAGAAGGACAAGTGCTAGGATCCGCCGGAACTGGAAGAAGCCAGGCCCTACCAGCTACCTCCATCAGATCAGACACTGATCCAGGAAAGGAGCTGGCAATGGCAGTATCTTCCCCAGGAATCACAGGGACTTTTGCCAAAGGGCCCAGGAGGTGAAGAAGGAAGAGAGATTTGAGGCAGACACCCCCACAGGGGTAAATGAAAGACCACAGCCGATTCAGAAGAGGACTGGAAATGTCCCCTGAGCTCTAGGTTATGTGGGACCCATTCCTCACCAGAATGAGAAACAGTGCCTCAGCTCTTCCCATCTTACAGTATACCTGGGCTGCATGATTAGTTCCCTGAGGGTCACGTGATGGGCTCTCGGACTGAGCATCTCACCACTCCTGCTACTAACCCTCCTGCTCCTCCTGTAACCCATGGTCCAGCAGCCGGCCCACACCCCGCCCCTGTCTGGCTGGCACAAGGAAACCGTGGTTTAAGTGGCAAAATAAAAACATTCATATCAACAGCAGTTTGTCACAAAAAGAGGATCCCCACATGGACACTCTTGAGCCATGGGATGAAAGGTGGTGCTTACTGCGGGGAAGGGGTGTTCCCAGGAAGGAGGAAACAGGACAGGCCTCCTTTTCCCTGTGAGCTCCCCCAATCCCCTGTGCCAGAGCCTTCTCTTCCAGAAGCTATCTGGTTGGGAGATGGCAACATTTCTCTAAGGCAGTCCTGATCCACAGGAGAGAGGTGGCTCCTGGACTCCTGCCAGGTCTAGAAGGGGAAGGGCTATTCCAGTAGGCCTTGCATAGTGAGCAGTAAGTCTGCAGTCAATGTGCTGGCTGCCAGCCCTTCAGCGGGTTTCTTTACCCCCATGGGCCAACCAGCCGTACTGAGGTGGGACAACAGCTGGACCAATCATTCTTGAGCCTCCGGCATTATCTGAGGTTTCCTGGCCTAAAAACCTTTAAGGTGAGGATTTTGATCACTCTGCCAGCTTTGCCTCAATAGCATATTATGTGCTTATCAGCATTCAGCTCTGCTCCAAGTGATCCTATCTGTCCCATTACCCATCACTTAAAGGACTCAGGGTTCAAAGTACTTCAAGCAGGCTACGAAGTGCACAGAGAACAGGGCTGCCCTCTTGTGGCCCAGAAGAGAAGCCGAGTCCACATCTCCTCACCCCAAACCCTTAGAGCTAGATGATTTTGTTACTCAGAATTTTTCCAGCTTTTAGGAAGTAGTCAGTGCAAATAGTGCCTAATCCCTAGTAGGGAAATAACTCGTAACGAAACATTAATATTTCTGCAACAAATATACACACACTAAGAGAAAAATATGGTTACAAATAGCTTCAATTCATACCAGTGTAGGTTCAGGTCATGTTTTGGTGTCGAATGAGTTAATGAAAATATTAAGCACTGGGACTTCGGAAATGAGGACCTGTATAACTCAGGAGCCATTATCTCAGCAACTCCATGGAAACACATTGTCCTTAAAATTGCATTCTACCTTGTCTTCCTTTTACCCAAGATCACTAGACAAAAAAGGTCAGAATTGGACTTGTTATTCATACATTTGCATTGATTTAAATACATTACATACAAGTTCTACAGTGCGTTGGAAGAACAACACAGGCAGCAGCACTCTCCCAGCCCAGCCTCACCTCCCTGACAGGGGGACAGGGCCTGGGGCTGGCAGAGGGCTGGGCTGTCCCATGAGTGCCACCCAGAAGCCTCCCCTGGCACTCTGCGCCCCCAGCTCTCCCCAAGTCCACATTCAAGGCAACCTGAGTACAGACTTCAAGGAGAAAGGAGACATGCTGAGAAAGGATACCCCACATTCTTGCCTGCCAAGACTGGGATCAGCCCCCTCATACGTTGGACCCAATTTCCTTCTCAACACAGAGCTGGTCTAGATGAGGGTGATGTGCAGATCTACTTGGCTGGGGGAAGCAACCAGCTTCCTCTAAGACTGCCTGGACTCTCTCACAGCCCAGGTGGGAAGCTTTACCAACAGGTCTGTATAGAGAGGTCTTTGGAGAGCTAAACACACCTGGGTCCCCTCTGGCCTCCGGAAGCCCTGCTGCTCCTGTAATCTGGGCTCAGGCACTGTCGCCACCACGGTCCCCAAGGCCAGATTCCAGGTCGGCCGAATGAGATTGTCAGGGCTAAGAGCTATGTCTTTGTCCACAGGGCATGCATAGCCAGCTCCCAGAAACTTCCTGACAGCTGGAGGGAACCCCACCAGAAACTGGCTCCTGGGGGCTGGGAGGCAAAGGGACCGGCTTGGCCCAGCTGACAAGAGGACTGCACATTTCTGCTCTGCCTCCTGGGCAGCGGGAGCTGGGCAAGCAGAGGGCACAGAGCCATAGTCCTCGCTCCCTTTCTTTGGTTGTTTTTCAAACCGTCAAGATAGTTTCTTTCCAAGGCTGATTGACCAATCGCAGGGTGCCAGAATCTTGAAGTGTCCAGTAGCGCAGAACTGCCCCTTAGCCACAGATGGCACCCTCTTCACTCCCTCCGGAGGCCATTCTTTGCTTTGGTGTGGAAAGGGCTTGGACATCTGGCAAGGGGGCCAGCTGAGGGAGGAGACATGGAAGGATGAAGATGCACACCGAGCTGGGCAGGCGCTGGGGGGCAGTCTGAAGGCCCTTCTCCTCTGGGCCCTGCCCTTCCCAAGAAAACGAGGAAACACTGGCCAGTAACAAGAAGTCAGGAGCAAAGGGAAGCTGCCCACTAGGAAGAGAATGAGTCCCGTTACTCCCACCAGGCAGCAGTGGTAGCATAAAAAGAAGTCCAGGGACCCAATATCCTGTCCTCTTATGAGCTGAGATGCAACTCACTGAGACCCAGAACTGAACCCCTAAGTCAAAAGTGTTGAGGAAAAAAAGTATCTAACAACAGAACAAATTAGAGGACTTGGGGGAGTTTATCACCCCAACTCAGAAAGCAAGGCTGGGATAAGTTTACTTACAGGCCAATTACAGCTCCCAGCATGCACTTAGGCCAAGTGGATCGCTTCTGCATGCTGGGAGGGCCACCTCTTTCCTCTTGCCTTTGCCTGAATGGCGGGTAAACTGCAAGCCTGGACTAGGAAGGGCAGAGAGCAGAGCCGATCTCTATGATCATATGCAGAACCACTGAGAGTTCTGGAGCAAAAGTGTCCTGGCCAGGAGAACTGGGTTGGGAGGCTTTTAGTCAGCCTATTGCACTGGTGGGAGAAGGGGAAGAAAACCTGGCAAAAAAAAACAAAGGAAAGGTGTGGCTTCTGTCTGTCCCAACTGGTGAGTCACCCAGTGGCTCTCTGAATCACCCAGCCGGTGTGGTCCATGTGAGGCACCTGAGTGTCTGGGTCCATGCAAATTTAGGCCTGGATTACAGGTTTCTGACCTGAGAGGATCTGGGATTCTGCCTGGGTTTTGCTACTAATATTTAAATTCGTATTTGTGTGTTCATTTTCTGATGCAGAATATAATGAGAATTGCCACAGAGCAGGGTGTCAGGGAGGGAAGGGAATTTCCCAGCTTGCCCCCAAGGGATGCTGGGAGATGCTCCTTCCGGGGCGTCTGGACTACTCACTCGCATGGAGGCTCCAGCCCTCCCTAGCAATCAGAAGGGCCCAACAGCACACACTGTCCCTCCGATTGTGCTTCTCCCTGTGCTTGGGAAAGCCCTGAGGGGCTGGCGAGCAGAGAAGAAGGGTTCTTAAGGGCACTGCTCTCCACCAGCATCTCTGGATTTTCCTGCAACCCACTCCCCAGGCTTCCTCCTAGCCCAAGTCTCAAACATGTCTTTGTCTGCCTCTTGGGCTACCACCATGAAAAGAAGGGCTTCCGACTCTGAAAGCTCTGTGTGTAGGACTCGCTAGAAGACCGCTGGTGGGAACGGGCCGTCTCGACAATCACGGGTGGCATCTGGACAAGGTGCAGGGGACTCTTGTTGTCTTTCAGGGCCTGGGTCAGATTTAGGATCTGCAGCAGGAAAAATAAGATCAGTGAGAGAAAGACCAAGGCATCCTGGTCTGCCTCTGAAGGGTGACCTGCTGATAGAGTGCTCCCATAAATCAATACAAAACTAAACACATTAATGGAAAATTATACAAATAGGGTGTTTCCAAAAATAGAATATAAGGGGCAAAATATAGAAAATGGAAATCTCTCTGGTCATTTAAAAAATGCAAATTAAAATCAAAACCTCCCACTTTTTGCCATTCTTATTAGTAAGGATACAGAAGAAGAAGAAGACGAGGCCTCAGATTTGAGGAGAGTTCAGAGCCAGGCTATGGGGCTGGACCCTGGGCCAGTTCTTCAGAAAGGCAAGTGGATGATAAAAGCTTAAAAGTGAACAGGCCCTCTGAGTGTGCAATTCCATTTACAGGAACTAAAGCAGCAATCATAGATATGCACAGTTTCAACGAATAGAGTGCAGTATTGTTTGTAACAGTAAAAATGGTATAAACGCCCAAGAGTATGGGATCAGTTAACGATCTCAGGGATAAGAAACAGCAATTAAAAGATCTATTTTATTGGCATGGAAAGCTGATCCTGATGTCAACAGACAGAAAAGGAAGGAGACAGGAGCCAGTATTATAATGTGACTCTACTTTCATTTTCTGAAATTCTATCTTCCAATCTACCTATCTGCAGAGAAGAAAAATTCTGCAAGTTGGCAGTGATTATCTCTGGGTCAAGAAATTATAGGTGATTTTTATTTGTTCATTGTTGTTTATCCTACATTCTCTGATTTTCCTATAAAGACTATGTATTTTGAAAAAAGCCAGCATTTCACTTGGCTTCTCTCTCAAATGCTGTCTCTTTATCAGTTTTTTAAACTTAAGGAAAAGTTAAAAGATAGTATAGAGAGTTCCTGTACACAATTTACTCAGTTTCCCCTAATTTTAAATTTTCACATAACTACAGTCCATTTACCAAAACTAAGAGATTAACACTTGAAACATTACTATTAACCAAACTTCAGACTTAACTCAGATTTCATTAGATTTTCCAGGACTGTTCTTTTTCTATTTCAGGATCTCATTCAGGAAACCACATTGCATTTAGCTCTTTACCAACTTTTGTCCATATTTTACAGATATTTAAGAAATGTGTTCATGGCAGGGGTGCTTGGGTGGTTCAGTTGGTTAAGTGTCTACCTGGGCTCAGGTCATGACCGCAGGATCCTGGGATTGAGTCCCGCATTGGGCTGCCTGCTCTAGCAGGGTGTCTGCTTCTCCCTCTCCCCAACTTGTGCTCTCTCACTCTCAAATAAATAAATAAATAAAATCTTTAAAAAATATATGTATATATTTTCACAGGAATGTTTGTCAAAATGAGAATCACCACCATTTATCTTCTCTGATAGGACAGTACAAAAATCGTAGTTATCCTATGATAGCCTATACTCTTGCTTGCTTTTTAAAAGTTCCCTCCTTCCTTTCTTTCTTTCAAGATTTTATTTTTAAATAATCTCTACACCCAACATGAGGCTCAAACTCACAACCCCAAGATCAAGAGTCACATGCTCTACCAACTGAGCCAGCCAGGTGCCCTGTTGAGCGTCTTCTTTAAACTACTGAAGATTTTCCTAGCCAGGCCACTGACACAGGGGAGGGTAAGCAAGGCTGCACCCCCAAATCACACAGACACACAGCCCTCAAGCCACAAATATCCTTGGTCTGCAAATGCTGCCCATAAAGAGGCAGGGATACACCTGAAACAGAAGGGGGAGGTCTGAAGTGGAACCTACCAGTAATTATTTTTTTACTTAATTGTTTTGGTATCTATTAGAATCCTCCACTGCTTCAAAAGCCTTGAACACAAAACTCAGGGTAGAGAATGAAAAGGAGGTTCAAATTGAATTGGAGTGAACTGTGCAGGAGACTACCCAACTTAAGAGGATGTTAAACCTGTCCTGGCTGGTTCTTCCTGTGCTTCCTTTTGTTCTTTGGGTTACAAGCTGCCTCTCATGCATGCTCAAGCAGCAGAGGTAAAATGTCAAATTATCTACAACTTACTTTCTAAAGATTTGGCCAAAAAAATATATCGATCAGGGGCGCCTGGGTGGCTCAGTGGGTTAAAGCCTCTGCCTTCAGCTCAGGACGTGATCCCAGGGTCCTAGGATCGAGCCCCGCATGGGGCGCTCTGCTCAGCAGGGAGCCTGCTTCCCTTCCTCTCTCTCTGCCTGCCTCTGCCTACTTCTGATCTGTGTCTGTCAAATAAAATAAATAAAATCTTAAAAAAAATACATATATATATATATATATATATATATATATATTTATATATATCAATCTACCTAGGAGGAGACAAGTTACACAGGTATATTAAAGAGAGAAATTACAGGGATATATAGAGATGGATATTATTCTGATAGATAATCAGCAGATAAACAAGCAAACAGATACAGAGGTAAAGCAAGCGTGGTTGACTAAGTGTAACAACTGGTGAATCCAGGGAAAGAGTCTACACTTTACTGAAGCTTTGAAATCTTTCAAATTAAAAAGCTGACGAAAGATTGATAGCAGGCATATAATGCTAAAGGATAAACATCGTCTTCGAATATGCCATTTAAAGAGGCTTTACCTCAGACTTGGCACTCTTTCTAACACCTGGTGTGACATCTTTACAGTGAGTAACAACTTCTGTCACCCAACTCCGTCTCTCTGGGAGTTTGGACTCTTCCCCTCTGGCTCAGGGCCCTCATGCAGGCATTCCGTGGTTAGGCTCGGGTAGGTAAAGGGTTGTGACCTCCTTTCCCTGTGGCAGGTCAGGCGTCTGGAAGGCAAAGGCTTGTTCTGCCTCGGCATGTGACTGGTAAGCTAAAAAGGAGCTGGATGCTCATGAAGCTTCCGGTGTTTCAGAGGTAGGCACTCTAGGTTAAGAGACCAAAAGGCCCTCAAAGGACATTAAGGGCATAAAGTGGAGAGAAAGATAAAATTACACTCTCCCACCCCCCTTTTGCCACTCTAGATAACATCCTTAACTGGATATAAGAGAGGAGGGGTGCTATGGTTTCGACAAGGGAGTAAGATGGAAAGGGATTAGGGAAGATAGCACAACAGGGACAGAGGCACAGCCTGCATAAACTTGAGAAGAAGTGCATTCCTTTATGCTGAGTTCCACAATATCAGAGTACATCATGTGGTTTTTAAGGTTTCCAAAAATCCTGCCAGCTTAACTGGGCCCTTACATGACTTGAGAAATGTAGGAAGGCCACGTTACTGGTATGCAGTCAACCGTAACAATCGCAGCTCTTAAAACCTTTGTACGTCCCATTTCCAAGGAAACACGGACTCAGTAAGCCCAAGAGTTGTTCTCACCAGAACCCTTTACCAAAACGGCAGGAAGAGGTAAATGCCTAATTACAACTAGAAAGACCTTCCTATCCTTTAAGGAGGTGAAAGCTGCTTTTTCTATACACCAAATCATAAAACAGCTAATGCACATTGGGAACTTCAATTCATCACGCACTACTCCAAATCATTTATTTCATAATAACCCTATGATGTAGGTGCTATTATTAACCCTAGGTCACAAATGGAGAAGTTAAAGGAAGGAGAGATTAAGCAACTTCTCCAAGACCTCACAGCCAATAAATGACAGAAGCAGAATCCAAACACAGGCACCAATATCAGTGCGTTTCCCTTAACCACTAGGCCATCCCAGATCTCTTTAAAGTGATAAGAATGTCAGTGCCCTGTGAGTTTTAAAACAATTTTTCAGGCATAGTCTTTACTATATTTTGGAAGATCAACAGTGCCCTAGGAGTTTCCTTAGCTCTCTTTGAAGGTGAAGTGGAGAGAGAAGAAATAATATGACTTGTAGGGGTGCCTGGGTGGCTCAGTCATTAAGCATCTGCCTTCAGCTCAGATCATGATCCCAGGGTCCTGGGACTGAGCCCTGCAACAGGCTCCCTGTTCGGTGGGAAGCTGGCTTCTCCCTGTCCCACTACCCCTGCTTATGTTCCCTCTCTTGCTGTGTCTCTCTCTGTCAAATAAATAAAATCTCCAAAAAAAGAAATAATATGACTTGTAACCATGATAACAAAAATTATAACCACAGCCAATATATGAGTACTAACCATGTGCTAGGTAATTATCTTTACTAAACACTTGATATGCATTATCTTATGTAATCCACTGCCCAACTCTGCAAGGTGTTATTATTGTCACATTTTAAAAACAAGGCAGCAGAGGTTCTTGCCCAAGGACACAGAGCTTGTAAGTAGTGAACAAGTCTGACTCCAGAGGCTAGCTCTTAACCACCAAGGCATATGGCCTGCCTTGAGCAACTTGAGGACAGGGGCCACTGGGTAAATTTACCAATGAACCACCTAGCAACTGGCACAGAGCTGAGCACATAGTGCCTCACCAAGCACTGGATACCATGGAAAAGGTGGGAGATTTGCAAGAGCTCCCTTTCCTCTCCCACATGCTACAACAGAGTCATAAGTAAGTAAGGCATAGACTCCAAGCGTGTAAAACACAAGCTTTACACATTTACTCAACATGAGCACATGACTCTCCCAGAGAGATCCCAGGGATAACAACAGGAGAAGTCCCAGGCTTACCTGTCCCCGCATGACAGCAATCTGCTTATGGAACTGGCCCCTGTCGAAACCAGGATCTTTCTGCAAAAGGGCAGAGATAGAGCCTGCATGAATCCCTCAGAAGAACCCATTTTCTTCCCCTAAACAGAAACTTTCTAATAAAGAAAACTTACATGGAGCTTATGAGGCTTAGTGAAATTAACTACCACCCCAAGAACTCTGTTTCACAGATGGGAAAAGAGAACAAGTAAATATCTTGTCCTGAGTCTCATTATTATCTGACTCTACAGAACTCCAGGCTCTAGTGTTCCATTTGCCAAGGAGAACTCTGCAGGCACTGTGCAGCCCATGACACGCAGGATAAACCCACGGTGATTCACCACAGCTGTCAAATTTTTTTTTTTTACCAAACTGCCCCAAACCAGGTCTTGCTGTCCACATGCAGGAATCTTGCTTGCTCTTCATTGGCTACCACAGGTCAGAGGAGTGTTAGCCATTCTCTCTTGGCTTGTATCAGGAGCCATTAGAAAAGCCATTAGAAATTCCTTCTTCCATATAGTTTTAAGGTTGAGGCTCCCAGGGCTAACCTTGAAGAGTTCATACAGGTCCTCCTCCAAGTCCTTGACGAAGTTAGGGTCCGATATCTTTGGAAGAATCAGATCTTTGATCTCCTGAGAGAATGGGACTTTTGCCTGGGGCAACCAGGCCCAGTAAAAGGGATCTGAAAAAAGGAAAAGCACAAAGCAAAGCTGCCCATCTATGTCCTCCACCTATCAGAGCACTGCAGAAGGCAGAATGCCCCTCTCACATGATATACAACAGGAAAGAAAATTACAAGGGATGTAAATCCTAAAGGCTATAGAGTAAGTAGAGGAATTAAGATTCAAGGCCAGGACCGCAGAATCCCAGAGGTGGTGCTCTTTCTCAGACATTACGTGACCTTCCAGTGACTTGCCACTGAAGACATTCAGATGTTCCTTCTGAGAAGACAGACTGTACTGCAAAGGGTCTAATGACTTCCTACTTGTATCTCTCTCTCTTTCCAAGAGTTTCTCCGTTATTAACAGTACAGGGGCTGACTTCCATGATGTCAACAAGGAAGACAGAACACTGACAATAGCTTATATTTAGAAACACAAATGGGATAAATAAGATAAGTCCTCAGAAAGTACGAGAAAAACAAAAACACAGATGAGAAAACTCAGCTATGCGCTTTTAATAGGAATAATGTAAGGTAAAAATGACAATACTTTGTATTTTGCAGTACTTGCCATATGTCAACTACTGTGCTAAATGCATGAGCTGCATTATTCCATCAATTCTTAAAACAATTCTGTCATAGAAGTATTATTATCTTCACTGCATAGATGAGAAACTAAGACTGAGCAGGAAAAGAGCCAGACCACAGTGGTCTTAGACTTACATGCCCTCCAGGAATCAGGATGCTTCAGGGGGAAAGCCAGCCCATTGTCTATGGCAGCCACCTTGATAACAGGCTCCTTCACCACCACCCAGTCTGTGTCCTAAAGAGCAAGGAAAGACCAAATACTTAGGGTCCCACCTACCTCAAGCCCTTTATAGTAGTAGCAGAGCACCCTACCTCAACCCCCATAGGCACCAATCCTTGGTCAACCTCTGACTAGTTTCCACAGTTCCTAGTCTTAGGACATTTATGGCACCTCTGATTTGGCCTATTCAAGGGTCTCAGAGTCCCTTATCTTAGGAAAGGTGCATTTCCCCAGGACCTGCCACAGCCCTTGGTAAGAAGGAAACTGACACTAACAAAGATAACTCTGGGCCTTTCCTCCTAGTGAAAGGAAGTGAGTCCTGAGATTATGAAAAGAAAAAGGAAAAAGCAAATTATTAGCCAGCCAAGGTCCTTTTGTGTAGACCTTGACCAGATGCTACTTCACTGGTGACCACATTTTCCTATGACACAACAGAACCATGGAAGATAACAGCTGGCCGCTCTTACACAAGAGTCTCTTGCCATTTCAGTGATAAAGGGAAAAGGACAAGGCTGATTGCAGAGTAGGGCAATATACCTATGAGAGCCCATCAGACACTCTCGTGACTGTTTGGCTCCCCACTTCAGGTTCACAAGTGCCATCACAGAAACAGGATATGTGGGTTGAGGATACCTGCATCAGAGTCCCCTAGGATATCTTATTAAAAGAATGGAATCCTGAGTTTTACCCAAGACCTTTGGGAAAGGCCCAAAGAGTTTGTATTATTTTTAGTCAACTCTTCAGGTGATTCTGATGTCCCAAATATGAGAACCACTATTAGAGAAGGAAGTAAAAACACTATGAGAATGTGTTAACCAACCTACTGTGGTAAACATTTTGCAAAATATACATGCATTAAATCACCACGTTGCACATCTTAAATCTGCACAATGTTATATGTCAATTCTATTTAAATAAAGCTGGACAAAAAAACACTTATTATAAGGAATAAAAGTCAACCTTACTCTCTTATTCTAGGTAGCGTTCCTACTAATTCTTTAAAATGTGCAGACTGAGCAGGAATAGAAAAGCATGGTAGAGGATGAAAGCAATGAGAAAGTAAGGAAAGTTGCAGGAAGCAGCTTTTTCTAAACTGATGTTCTACGGAATTGTCTATTATGAGAAAAGTATTCTAAAAAAGTTTAGAAATTACTGGCCAAACAAAATTAAATAGATAAATTTAATGGACTACTTCTCAGGCCATTACTATGCTCCTATGCAATGTGAATCTCCAATAAAGGCATATGTAACATGTTCCAAACATATCTGAACCCTTCTTCATTCTGTATATATGAACATCATTCAATAAGATGCCACTTAAAAAACAGATGGAGGGAAAACTCTATCAAATATTAACCCATCAATTTTAAATGCATGTGCTATCTTGATTCTTCTGAATCTATGTGACTTAATCTCTGATTGTTATGTGTTTCTGTACTATGCATACACACTACCATAGCTCAACCTCTTACCCGAGAGCTAGAACTATCCATTGGACAGTCATATTTAATCAGCCAGTTGTCATTGCCTCGATCTGTGAACAGAAACATGAAGTTAGAAACAAGTGGGGTGACTTTCAAGTTCAGTCATGATGGACTACATATTTTTGGCACTTGGTCCAATCACTCTACTGAGAAAACTATAAAAAACTGATAAAGTTCTTTTTAAAGATTTTACTTATTTATTTGACAGAGAGAGACACAGTAAGAGAAGGAACACAAGCAGAGGGAGTGGAAGAGGGAGAAGCAGGCTTCCTGCCGAACAGGGAGCCCAATGTGGGGCTCAGATCCCAGGACCCTGGGATCATGACCTGAGCCAAAGGCAGCTTAACGACTGAGCCACCCAGGTGCCCTAAAATATTTTTAAATCTCTTGAAGGTATTGGAGACTTTAACAAGACCATTAAGAGTTAAAGTGTTGAGACCTGGGAGAGAAAGGCAATTCAGACAGAAGTCCATTATTTGTGGCTTCTTTTCTCCTAGAGCACCTGCTGATAAAGAGGATGAGAGGTGCAGCAGTGTTCTAACAGCCTTGGGAGCTGGGAAGACAAAATCCTAGTTCAGTGACTGACAAGGGGAGGAGACTATGGTAAATAACCCATGCTTTGGGTTGAAACCTGACCCACTACACCTTGGAACTAAGCAGAGTTTCCCTTCAATACCTGGAATTAAAGTGACTCTGGATTGCTGGTACCCCCTAGCTGCTTGCCACATGCAAACAACTTCTACACAGGACTTATATCAGCATCCTAGGCTTCCAAATAATTCTACCATTTTTGATATATAACATTTGACAATCAAAAATAACCAGGTATATAAAGAGTTATAGTGACACGACTAAAAATAACAAGACAGAAAATTTTTAAAAACCTACAAGGAGGGGCGCCTGGTGGCTCAGTGGGTTAAAGCCTCTGCCTTCGGCTCAGGTCATGATCCCAGGATCCTGGGATCGAGCCCCACATCAGGCTCTCTGCTCAGCGGGGAGCCTGCTTCCTCCTCTCTCTCTGCCTGCCTCTCTGCCTACTTGTGATCTCTATCTGTCAAATAAATAAATAGAATCTTAAAAAAAAGAAAAAAAAACCTACAGGGATTCCAAACAATGAAGATCTAGACTCTAAAATATTCAAGATAAAATCCTTGATATGTTTAAGAAGATAAAAAGCAAGATTAAGAATAGTAGCAGAGGGCACCTGGGTGGCTCAGTGGGTTGGGCCTCTGCCTTCGGCTCGGGTCATGGTCTCGGGGTCCTGGGATCGGGCCCTGCAGTGGGCTCTCTGCTCCGTAGGGAGCCTGCCTCGCCCTCCCCCTCTGCCCGCCTCTGCCTACTTGTGATGTCTGTCTGTCAAATAAATTAAAAAAAAAAAAAAAAAAAAAAAGAATAGTAGCAGAAAACAAGAATCCATAAAAAAGAATCAAACAGAAATTCAACAACTGAAAAATTTAGTTACCAAGTTGAGAAATCTGACAGATGAGCTTAACAGTAGATTTTGCCAAAGACAGAAGTAATAATCTGAAAGGTCACAAAAAAAGAGCAGAACAAAGCACCCAGGAAAAAAAGTGTTTCTAACAACATGTGACTGGATTCTCTTCTGAGAATGGAGAAAAATATAGGCAGAAGTAATCATTTAAAGAGCGAACAGGGGCGCCTGGCTGGCTCAGTCAGAAGGGCAGGCGACTCTTGATCTTGGGGTCACGAGCTCGAGCCCCATGCTGGGTATAGAAGTGCATGTTAAGTGTTTTTAAACTTAAAAATAAATAAATAAATAAAAGAGAGAATAGCTGAGAATCTTCCAAAAGTGACAAAGGGTATGGAACTACTGATTCAAGGGAAATTGTGAATCCCTAACAGGATAAATACAAAGCAAACTACACCAAGCATATTGCAGTAAAAATTCTGAAAATCAACTACAGGGAAAATCTCAAAGGAGCTGGAGAAAAAGAGATTACCTTAAAAGAAACCACAATAATACAGGAACAACTGACTTCACAGAAATCATGGGAACAAGAAGACAACTGAATGGATTTATTTAACTAAACTTCCAGTTCCAAATTCTACACCCAGCATACATAGCCTTCAAAAATGAAGGTGAAATAAAGACATTTTCAGACAAACAAAACTAAAATTCATCATCAGCAGACTAGTATTAAACTTTAAGTCAGGGTTGGGGCGCCTGGGTGGCTCAGTGGGTTAAGCGTCTGCCTTTGGCTCAGGTCATGGTCCCAGGGTCCTGGGATCGAGCCCCGCATCAGGCTTTCTGCTCAGTGGGGAGCCTGCTTCCCCCTCTCTCTGCCTGCCTCTCTGCCTACTTGTGCTCTCTGTCAAGTAAGTAAATAAAATCTTAGAAAAAAAAAACAACTTTAAGTCAGGGCACTTGGGTGGCTCAGTTAATTAAATACCTGACTTTGACTCAAGTCATGATCCCAGGATCCTTGGATCTGGCCCTGCCTCAGGCTCCCCACTCAGTAGGAAGTCTGCTTTTCCCTCTCCCTCTGCCTCTTCCCCTGCTTGTGCTCTCTTTCTCTCTCTCAAGTAAGTAAATAAAATCTTAATAAAATATGTATATATGTTCTCTAAGTCAAAGGAAAATTATCCCCAACAGAAGCTTGGACATAAAAATTTAAAGAGCAGTAAAATGGGTAAATATATTAGTAAATCTAGATAAATATTAGCTTTGTTGTGGTATGATAGTTTGGGTTTTTTTTAAGTTATCTTGTAGAGACACACACTGAAATAATTATGAATAAAATTAGATCTGGGGGCGCCTGGGTGGCTCAGTGGGTTGAAGCCTCTGCCTTTGGCTTGGATCATGATCCCAGGGTCCTGGGATCAAGCCCCACATCGGGCTCTCTGCTCAGTGGGGAGCCTGCTTCCTCCTCTCTCTCTGCCTGCTTCTCTGCCTGCTTGTGATCTCTGTCAAATAAATAAATAAAATCTTTAAAATTAGATCTGTGATTTGCTTTAAAATAATGAAAGAAGAGGGTGCCTGGGTGGCACACGTTGCTAAGCCTCTGCTTTCAGCTCAGGTCATGACCCCAGGATCCTGGGATCGAGTCCCGCCTCAGGCTGCCTACTCAGGGGAGGCCTGTTTCTCCCTCTCTCATTCCCCTGCTTATGTTCCCTCTCTTGCTGTCTCTCTGTCAAATAAATAAAAATATTTAAAAAGATAAATAATAATAATAAGATAAGTAAACAGAAATGTGAATGGGATAGGATTAGTCATGGACTGATAGTTGTTATGGCTGGAATGACCAGTGCCTACAGGTTTCATATATGCTCAAACGTCTCCCTAATTATTATTAATAACAGTAATAATAATGACAATATCACCTTATGGTTTTACAAAAAAGTGGTTTAACATATGTACAAACATACAGACACATATACATACATACATGCATATATAATTAAAATGTATGATGCTAATAGTACAAAAGCCTGGAGATGAAGCTAAGGGTTTCTACCAATTAGATTTTGGGAAATCAAAGATTCACATGGTAATCTTTAGACTAACCATCAAGAGAAAAGACAAAGCATTTAAACTCCTGAGCTAAAAAAGGGGAGAAATGAAATATTTGCAAAATAATTTAAAATTTTTATTTATTTATTTAGAGAGCATGTGTGAGCAGGGGGAGGGGCAAAGGGAGAGGAAGAAAGAATCTCAAGCAGATTCTGTGCTGAGGACGGAGTCTGACATGGGGCTCATTCTCAAGACCTTGAGATCATGACCTGAGACGAAATCAAGAGCTAGATGCTTAACCAGATGAGTCACCCAGATGCTCCTAATTACAAAATAATTTAAAAGAAAACAAGAAAGAAAAGAGATCATAGGAAGGAGGAGAGGGGGAAAAAAAGACAAGAACACAAAATGGAAAGAAATAATAGAAAGGAAATAATAGAAAGGAAATAATAGAAATAGAAAGGAAATAATAAGATCGTGGATGAAAATCCAAATATATCTGCATGTACATTATAGATAAATAAACTAAATGCTCTAAAACTAAACTACAACAGTTGTCTTGCTGGATGAATAGAACCGATAACCATTTAGCTATTTAGTTTAATAAAAAAAAAAAAGACTGAAATTGCTAAAATCAGAAATGAAAGTAGGTCATTAATACCAATTATATCAAAATTTTAAAAAAAGGATTATAAGCGGGGCGCCTGGGTGGCTCAGTGGGGTAAGCCTCTGCCTTTGGCTCAGGTCATGATCCCAGGGTCCTGGGATCGAGCCCCGCATCGGGCTCTCTGCTCAGCAGGGAGCCTGCTTCCCTTCCTCTCTCTCTGCCTGCCTCTCTGCCTACTTGTGATCTCTGTCAAATAAATAAATAAAATCTTAAAAAAAAAAAAAAAGGATTATAAGAAGGTACTATAGGCAACTCTATGGCAAAAAACTGGATAACCTAGACGAAATGGCCAAATTCCTAGAAACACAAAATCTAAAGACTACACCATGCAGGGGCGCCTGGGTGGCTCAGTCTGCTGGATGTCCAACTCTTGGTTTCAGCTCAGGTTGTAATTTTGGGGTTATAAGAGGGAGCCTGTGTTGGGCTCTGTGCTGGGCACGGAGCCTGCTTAGGATTCTCTCTCCCTCTTCTCCTCCTCCCCAACTTGTGTGCACATGAGCATGCCCCCTCTTGCTCTTAAAAAAAAAAAAACAAAAAAAACAAGGGGTGCCTGGGTGGCTCAGTGGGTTAAAGCCTCTGCCTTAAGGTCAGATCATGATCCCGGGGTCCTGGGATGAAGCCTCACATCGGGCTCTCCTTTCAGCGGGGAGCCTACGTCCCTTCCTCTCTCTTCCTGCCTCTCTGCCTACTTGTGATCTCTCTCTGTCAAATAAATAAATAAAATCTTTAAAACAAACAAACAAAACTAAACTCTTAAAATAAAACTTAAAACTATAGAAATCAAAATAGTGTGGTACTGGCATAAAGACAGACATAGACAAATGAAATACCATACAGACATAAACCTTTACATATATGATTCAAATGGTTTTCAACAAGGGTGAAAAGAACCTTCAACGATGAAAAGATAGTCTTTTCAACAGATGGTGCTGGGAAAACTGAATATCCACATATAGAAAATGAAGCTGGGCCCTTACCTTACACCATATGCAAAAATTGACTCAAAATGGATCCATGACCTAACTCTAAGACTAAAAGTTATAAAACTCTTAGGACAAAAACACAGGGCAAAAGCTTCATGGCATTAGATTTGGCAATAATTTCTTACATATGACACCAAAGGCACAGATGATAAATTAAAAAAATAGACAAACTGGACTTCATGAAAATTTAAAATTGCATCAAAAGATACTATAAACAAAATAAAAAGGCACCCAACAATATGGGAGGAAATATTTACAAATCACATATTTGATAAGGAATTAATATCCAGAGTATATAAAAAACTCCTATAACTCAACAATAAAACAACCTGATTCAAAGATCGGAAAGACGTTGAACAGACATTTCTCCAAAGATATGCAAATGGCCAAAAAGTACATGAAGGGATATTCACAACATCACTAGCCATTAGGGAAATGCAAAATTACAATGAGAGACCACAGTATACCTATCAAGTTGGCTACGAATGAAAAACAAAACAAAACCCAGAAAACAACAAGTGGTGATGAAAAGTAGAGAAACTGGAACCCCTGTGCGCCACTGGTGGGAATATAAAACGGTGCAGCCATTGTGGAAAGCAGGATGGCAGTTCCTCCAAAAATTAAACATAGGTCAACCATATTTCACTTTAAAAAAATTAAATAGAACTACCATTTTCTCCAGCAATTCCACTTCTGGGTATATACTTAAAAGACATGAATAAAAGACATGAAAGTAGTGTCTCAAAGATATTTGTACACCCATGTTAAGCAGCATTAGTCACAAAAGCTAAAACATGGAAGCAACCCAACTGTCCACTGATGGATGGATAAGCAAAATACAGTATATACATACAATGTACATCCAGCCTTAAAAAGGAAAGAATTCTGATATATGCTGCAATATGAATGAAGCTTAGGGTCATATGCTAAGTAAAATAAGCCAGTCACAAAGTGACAAATACCAAATGAGTGCATGGATATGAGGTACTTAAAGATAAAACTGTCCTGGGATAGTCTTGCTACTATGAGTGACTAGGGATCAAGAACAAAAGTACTCTTGATGTCGCTTGGGGAGAGCCAATGTGTCTTCTGTCTGAGACGGGGAAAGAGGCTAAGATAAAACATCAGTAACTGCTGGCTCCGGGACTCACCACCTCTGGTAACCACAAACAATGTGCCTGAACAAAGCTTGTCTTGGAAAAGTATTTTCGAGGCCCTTCTGACTCAGGAAAGCTTCGTCCCGAGAAGGCACTCCAGTGTGGAGCTCGGCAAGCCCCCGGCCTCCGTGCACCTCCCGGTGGTCCGGCACGGGCCCCAGGCCGCCCAGAGCTGCTCACCAGTGTTGCGGATGATATAGTCCAGCACCACCAGCCGCTCGAACTGCAGCAGCAGCTGCCGGTTAGTGTTCTCCGGGAGGGGCTCTGCTTCGAAACGCCGGAGCCAGTAGTCCGCATCTTTGTAGCCTTCAACAAAGAGCTGGAATGAACCAACCTGCAGCCGAAGAGGAGGAATAAAGGTATCTCCCCACTGTTCAAGTCCAGAGAGCCCACGAGTAAGCCGTGGTGGCCCATAATGCCCTGTGGCGTTTATATCAGAAAAAGGTCATGGGATTCCCCATACAGATTCAAGAAGCCCATCTAAATGGGCCGGTGGAGTAAAGTGGGAAAGTGAGGGGCTCTGTTCTCTGGAGAATTATTCCCCAAACCTTAGGCCCTCAGAAATGAGGGAGACAGGAGCCTCAGACATATTCATGTCTACAGGCAAGTCTCTAGGTGCCTTGTTTCGCCACTGGGGTAGTCACACCACACACATCATCACCTTGCCTAAGCCACACAGGTGCTGGTATACCTTTGGTGGCAGTCCGATGCGATTGAACCGCTGCCCGACTTTTGGCACTTTCTCTAGTGCAAGCCGCTTGCCCCTGGACTTCACTCGGTCAATGGCACTATAGTTGAAGGTATCGCTGGCCAGGTACACTACCTAGAGTGGAAAGAGAACAGATACCTAGGTTACAGTTGAGTATGAGGAACCATACCACGACCGCACGGACTAGCTGGACACTCACCAACACTGTTCCTCTTCCAGTGGATGCATAAGGAATGCACTCCTCGGCCTTCCTAATATGAATAGTTCAGGCCAATGCAATGTTGACAAAGAGATGCATGTCTATCAGTTCCGGGGCTGGCCCCTAAAATCTCCCATTATCCTTAGTTCACACTCCCCAGTCTGTTTAGCTGGAAATGAAGGGCTCTGAGATGGCAAAACCACATCATGGAAAGATCTTACATTTCTTGTCACTACATAGAGGGAATGACAAGGGATCAGGGAGAGCTGCCTGACTGGCACGAATCTAGGATGTGAGCAAAATCCATTAAACCACCGAGATTCAGGAGTTGTTACAGCAGCTAGCATGAGTTCCCCTGACTAATAAAGCCATCTCCTAGGTTGGGAGAAGAGGGCCCAATGCCTATTTTCTCTCCAGGTAAAAACAAATTGCAATGTACTCTATACCCTTTTATTTCTTTTGAATTCTGCACTATGTGCAATTTGTTCACATTTTTTAAAATATTTATTTATTTGACAGAGAGAGAGAGACAACGAGAGCAGGAACACAAGCAGGGGGAGTGGAAGATGGTGAAGCAGGCTTCCCGCTGATCAGGCAGCCTGATGCAGGTCTTGATCGCAAGACCCTGGGATCATGACCCAAGCCAAAGACAGACACTTAATGACCAAGCCACCCAGATGGCCCAATTTATTCACATTTTAAAAATAAACATTAAACATTAAAAGATAAACATTAAAATGGGTTTTAATCTTTACTGAATTGCTATATATATATATATATTTATTGAATATGCTATATATACTGAATTGCTATATATATAAAATATATATTGTCTGCATAGATTATATATGTATATAGCAATATATATATTATATATATTATATATATATTATATATTGTATACATTATATATAATATATATTGTCTGCATAGATTATATATGTATATAGCAATATACATATAGATTACATATATATATAATATCTGTGCAGACTATATCTGGAATATTACACAAGAAACTTGTACTGGAAGCTACCTCTGAGAAAGGAAATGGAGTGGCTGGAAGGCAGAGGTGCGAGAGAGGCTGAATTGCTCTTCTCCGTTTACCTTATTGTGCCTTCTGATCTCCACACCAGATGCATGCATTGCCTACTCAAAAAAACATTTTTTTAAAAGATTTATTTTTTTGAGAGAGAGAGTGAGCATGAGCAGGTTAGAGGGGCAGAGGGAGAAGCAGAAGAAGTGGAAACAGGCTCCCAGCTCCCTGCCCAGGACCCCAGGATCACGACCTGAGCCAAAGGCAGATGGCTTTTGGGTGGCTTAGTCATTAAGCATCTGCCTTCAGCTCAGGTCATGATCCCAGGGTCCTGGGATCGAGTCCCGGTTTGGGCTCCCTGCTTGGAGGGAAGCCTGCTTCTCCCTCTCCCACTCCCCCTGCTTGTGTTCTCTCTTGCGCTGTGTCTCTCTCTGTCAAATAAATAAAATCTTTTAAAAAAAATTATTACACTTGATTGTCAAATTGTAGTGATATCACTGTAATCCGTAGATATATCCATTATCACCCTTATCACACCGTCTTGTGATTATCCATTTGTACATCTAACCTCTCTCTCTCTCTTTTTTTTTTTAAGATTTTATCTATTTATTTGACAGATAGAGATCACAAATAGGCAGAAAGAGAGGAGGAAGGAAGCAGGCTCCCCGCTGAGCAGAGAGCCTGATGCGGGGCTCGATCCCAGGACCCTGGGAACATAACCCAAGCTGAAGGCAGAGGCTTTAACCCACTGAGCCACCCAAGCACCCCTCTAACCTCTCTCTTAAGACTAAAGAGATCTGGGGAAAAAGAGAACATCTTACTTTATGCATATTACCAGCCTCAGTATCTAACATAGTGCCTGGCACATGCTCATTAAATATTTATTAAGTGAATGCATGAATGAGTTACAAACTTCTTTCAGAGACAGCAACAAGTGAGTCTCAGCACATAAATAACTAAAATCAGATTTGAAAGAAAATTCTTTTTTAAGCCTTGCAAAGTTCATTACAAATAACTAATTATTGTGCCTATGACTCAGAAAGAGGGACAGAATCATTCCCTCCCTCCTCTCCATTCATCTGTCCATCCAAAGTTAATGCAAGTGTCTACAATGGATGTGCTAGGTATAGTAGGTTGGCACTCTGTGCCCAGGAAACACACGCACAGGAATTAAGGAGAAAAAAGGCTTTCCTAAGAATATCTTGCCAGTTTCCATAGTGAAAACCCTCACTCTCTCAAGCAATAAACCACCCATTCCCCCCGACCCAGATTTATTTTCGATCACTCTCTGTAACAACCCGCTTTTTTCTCTATGACTAATGAAACTAACATACCCCGAAACCTCACAGGAACAGAGAGCAGAAACAAGCTATCGAGTGAGACCTGGAGCCTTACTATTTGAAGCTCCATCATAACATGAGCCCTGTTCCCAGTGATAGCTGCTCTCATCAGCTGGACAGACTCCTGTCACAAAGGTGGGGAGGTTGGGAGGGGAGAGACTTCCTCTCACTATTCTCCAGCAGCTATAGGTTAAAACTTGAAAGGTTCTGTCTCATCTCAGTCTCATGGAAGATGAATATTTTGTTGTTGCTTTGATGCAAAAGATCCTCAAGCCACATTAAGATTCTCTAACAGGGAAAGAGGAAGAGCAGAGATGGGGAAGAACAGGATCCTGGCAGGTGACATTCTGTTATGATAAGAATGGTCATAAAAGTACCACAGGCTAAGACATATGGAGAATTTGCAAAGGCACCAGGCAACGTGTTTTACATGGATTATCCTGTGTAATCTTAATAGCCACCTCATAAAGTAGGAACTATTTATAACCCTATTTTTATAGTGAGGAACCGAGCAGGCAAAGCGTGTGAGGCTGTCTTAAGTGATTTGCCAAGGTTCACTCAATAAAGAGTTGCAGAGCCAGAATTTGGACTCCAGCCCTCGTTCCTAGGCACTCTACTCCAGAAGCACAGGCAGGACAGGCACAAGGCCCTGTGCGGACTGCTACTTACCTAGTAAAGAAAGGCAATTACAGCGATGAGCACAAGTATTTAAAAGAATGTTTAGAGTCTAGGAAGGGCCTAGTAGGAGGAATTCAGGTTAGGCAGGAGATCTTTGGAGCATTAATTATCATGCAAGACATTCAAGTGTGCTATTTAACTCTGTATACAGACAGAACAAAAGCATAAAAGGAAGAATGAGCTATATAAGGCCAGATGACAGTGGGAGCTATAAGCAAACACTCTCCCAATAGATTTGAGTTGGAGGATCTCTAGGATTGTCCCTCATGGTTTGATATTCACTCAGTCATTCAGATGGCACTTCCGGAATAGTTACTATAAAAACAGTACTCTGCTTGGGGCGCCTGGGCGGTTCAGTCGGTTTAGTGTTCGACGCTTGATTTTGGCTCAAGTCATGATCTCAGGATTGTGGGATTGCACTGAGCATGGAACCTGCCTGAGATCCTCTCTCTTCCTCTGCTTCCCAAACCCACACAACCCTCCGTCTCACATGCATACTCTTTCTCTCAAAACAAAGAAACAAACAAAAAACCACAGTACTTTGCTAGGTGCTGAGAATAAAAGGAAATTTCAAGAAATGGTCCCTGAATTCTATGAACTTACAAACCAGCTGGCTTATTGTTTGGAGTTTGGCAGTAAAAGAGCAGACAGTTAAACAACCAAAACAATCACAGTTTCTTCTAAAATACCCTGGGAAAACAGAAAAAAGAGGTTTGAAGGGAAGTTCCTGTCTGTTGACCCATCTCTTTGGCCAGAGTCTACTATCTAAACCTGCAAAGAAAACCTCAAGCAGGGGTCTTTAGTCTATTGGCATGGTCTCTACAAGGCCAAGGAATGGACTCCAACCGGTCCATGAACCATCCCCATGAAATTACATGCAAAACAACAATTGCAAATATATGAATTTTTTCTGGGAATGAGATCTCCAGCCTTCATCAAATTCTCAGAGGATTAAAGCCCATAGCTACAAAGATGCCCCTGCAGCCTTAGGGCAGCAGATAGAGCTTCACTTGAAGTTGTTACTAATCCTCAGGTAGCCACACATACTAAATGGGTGATGATGGGTCCTTGAATGTTCATATGCTGACCAGCAGGCATTCCTTCCCCTCACAACCCTTGGAAAGTTCCGCGGACACCCTGTAGTACAGGGGCTCGTCACCTGGCATCAGTAAACTTCCTGAAAATGTACGCAATCAATTCTGTTATTTCAGCATACTGGGGGGTGGTAGGGATTGGAACCTAAGCTAAGTCTATCATACATATAAGGTGTGTGCAAATTCATTCTAAGTGTGGATTTACCTGGATCTGGGACCCCAATTTTGTTATGTTCAGGTAAGTACCAGTCTCCCATAGCATAAAGATAGATGAGAATTCCAGGTCAGTTCTCTGTACATGTCCAAACCAGACCTTTACTTTGACCCTCAGCCCACCCTAGAATCCTTCCTGCCAGACTTGACTTTAGTGACTAGCTAACATCAGTTAGTCCATTTTAGAACATATCTAAATCAAGGAATAGCTTGGAAATCTAAGACAATGAGCTACAAAAGTAGCCAGATTTCTAACCAGCTTGCAGTTTACCTGGGACCAAAAGACCTGGAAAACACATAAATGTGCACCAGAGGGTCAGTGAATTTCCTGAAATTGTATGCAAAACTTTTACGTGTATCCTTCTCAGGATAGCTTCCATCAGATGATCAAATCATGAGCCTAAACCTACCACCTTCCCTCCAAAAAGGCTGAGAGCCCTAGATTCAGGGCATATATAGTCCTCCTTGGACCTAATAGCTCGGTTAACATGTAGCAGGACTTATGCCCAGGAAAACTCTGGATAGGGACCAAGGCTCCCTGGAGACAGGTCACTGACCTTTGTACGGGGTACAATGTTGAGTTCCAGTTTTTGGTCCACCAGACTGGCCCCTGCCTCTGAGAGATAGCCCTGGTTGAGGACAAGGCAGTCACGGCCAAAGCAGCAGGGACAGCATAGCTTCTGCAGCCATTTGGTCCACTTAGGATTAAGGTGCCCATATGGCTCTTCATTCTTGGGTTTGAAGACAGCAATGATCTTCTACAGAGAGAAAAGAAAAATAGGATGTTAAAGGCAAATTAATTAAAGTGGGTCACAGACCAGGTCAGAAGGATTCTAGAAAGAAACGAGAAGGCATAGGAAGACAATCCTTAAAGACAGACACTGGCTTCTCCCCAGCTTGTAAGGGGAAGACACGGCTCATGTGTGCAGCTAACAGTCCCACTGCCAGAAAGGGCTGTGGTCACAGAAGATGCCACGCCTAGTATACATGGTAAAACAGATTTTAACACCATCAAACCCCAACTTCCAAGGTGAAGTCATACAAACTTGTTCTGCAACAATTAGGTAAAGGCTCAAAAAAGTATCAACTGAAAGGAAATTAGTAAGGTATTATGGAATAAGGTTAATTCCATCAGTGCTTGATTTCCTCTATCAGCCTTACTATCCCACTCCCTAGGTGTTAACAAAATCTTAAAATAAAAAGTTTAGGAATGACAAACTAAGAAAGCAATGGAAGGGAAAACTCACAGCAGGAAAAAGAATCTGCCCCCTGATTAGAATCGGGTTCTTTTAAGTAACTCTGATAGGCAAGAAATTAGGATATGAGAGGCCACAAGGACTAAAACCCATCTTCTCTTGCGGGTGAGAACTTAACCCTCAGAGGTCCTTAGAAACCCGGGATGCTGCTGCAACCCTGAAACAATGGGCCTCCCTTCTGGAATCTTCTTCCCCAGGCCAGGCAGCCCTCCATGGTTATTTCACATCTGTCTCATTCCCTCTAGTCCCCAAACTGGTACTTTCAAAGGAAGAAAAGCAAATATGCTATCCAAGTGATTCATCTTTGTATCATATGACTCCCTCTCACTCCACAGCCAACTCAAGCTAGTCTGGGTCATAAGACATTTTCCTGTGGGTGTCACTTCCTGACAGGCAGGTCACAGCAGAAAACATACGCCCATGTGCCTGCATTAAGTATGTGCTCATATTAGGAACTGGCTAGATGCATGTCTCCAAAAATAATTGGTCCTTCTTGAGGCTAGTTCAAGAAGTCTTACAAGAATCTGAGCGGACAAGAAAAATACAGAACTCTCCTTCCTCCAAAGGAATCAATTTATTTTAAACACAAACAACCTTACTGATTCACTGGGAAAAGTCAAGTGCATAAATTCATAATCTAGGTCTTCAGAATTACCTTTTTATCCAAAATGTCTAGCAAAAGACCCAAGTTAGCAATCTTTCTGTCTCTGCCCCAGGAACCCTGCGCTCCAAACCACACAGCAGCAGTAACAAGGGGTTCCTGTCACTCAGAGAATGACCGATGAGTCCATGATAATGCTCTAGAACTAGACAATAAAACCATGGACAGCTTGAGGCCCATGCCACAACTCGAGTCAGTTCAACTGAGGTACAACATGGAGTTCGGCAGGCCGGTTCCCAGCGGGAGGAAGACCAAGACAACCCTATTATCGAGGCTGAAAGACACTAGGACCAAGGCTTAAATACCTCCATGAAAGAAAGCAGAACCTGGAGGCCAAGATCACAGCCAAAGCCTCATTTACAGACTCACCTCTCAAACTTCGCCATTTCCCTCTGACAGGAGAATTAGAAAGCATCCTGAGGACTGTGAAAGCATTAGTGATCATCACTACCTCAATATCACACAGGGTTCATTAAATAATAACGTCTGGACTGGACAAATGGAGGGGCAGTAGCGTGAGAAGGCTGGAGGAACAGAAAGATATTAGGCAGAAAGGGAGACAAGTGCCCTTTGGGACTAAGCATGGCCTTCAGTTCAATTCAGTTCTGCTAAGGTGCTCAGTACATCATTTGTGTAAGACAGTATGTGAGCACTGCAGGTTTGCTAGCTGATACAAGACACAGCCTCAGGCCTAATTTCCAAAGCTAATATGAACTTCACATTTTCAGCTGTGTTCCTGAATACTTAACAATATTCTAGAACCAGTCGAATCAGAAAGGCACCCCACCATTATTTGGTTGAGAAAGAAAATGTCTACTGCCTGATTTTTCTCACTCTCTTCTCTCTTCTTTGCTATACTTTCAATTCCTTTCTTACATTTAGTTTGGAGTAAGCTTCTGTTTGATGCCGATGTTTTTCGAACACCTTTCCTTACCACCCACTGACTAACCCTTCTTTAATGAAGGGGCTGAGGTACAGGGAGCTTAAGCAGCCACAGCAATGGAGCTGGGGATCCAAAGAGAACTGCACAGGAATCAAGAGGCCACTTACTCACTGGCAGGGGTCAGAACCCACAACCAAATTCTGGGACAGGAAAGACAAAGGGTTTCTCTATCTAGCAGCTCCAAGGAGGAGGGCATTATGCAAGGCTAAAATTTAAGATAGTTCAAGCACATCACTCATATTGTATAGGGAAATACCCAGGAATAACTTCTAATATAAGTTTTATCTTTTTAATTTGGTAAACGTGAAGCTGATGATTCTCTAACATTTTCGTCTGAAGATTCCTTTAAACTCTAAATTATTAAAGATCTACAAAACTTTTGTTTATGTGGGTAAAACCTACATCTGCTTATTACAAATTAAAACTAAAATGTTAAGACTGTTAATTCACTTAATAAAAATAAACCTAATGTATGTTAATACAGATGTTATGTTTTTATGAAAAATAACCATTTTCCGGGAGGGTATGTGCTATGGTGAGTGCTGTGAAGTGTGTAAACCTGGCGATTCACAGACCTGTATCCCTGGGGCTAATAATACATTATATGTTTATAAAAAAAATAAAAAATTTATTAAAAAAAAGAAAAATAACCTTTTTCAAAAACAATTTTTAATGAAAAGGCAACTGTATTTTCACATCTTCCTTAATATTCAATCTGTTTCAATATTACATAACAAGTAGCCTCTGGAAATCCCTACTACACACTCATAAGGAAGTGAGAATGAAAATGGCAGGCAGTCTTAAAACAGTAAGAAAAATAACTTTGTGCACCCCTAAAAGGATTCCTACAGGTCCTTCGGCCTCACTCTGAGAACTCCTATATTCTGTATTAGCAGTTGGATAGAAACAGCACTCCTATTTAGGCAAAGAAGCCTTACTTACATGTTAACTCTTAGAAAAGAGAGGGATGGGTTACTCCAAATATATCAGACCCTGAAAGAAGATGGAATCCAAATAAAATGCAACACAAGAGATTTAGCCTGTATTTATTTTCCTATCCACTGTCAATAACCCAACCTGTCTCACCCATAACAACTGGTGGCCTAGGACAGGTCCCTAAAATAGGCGGTAATGATGTTTAAAAACCTCGAGAAATACATCTAAATATGACATACAAACTTGACTACCTCTTAACAATTTAGTAAAAAAAAAAAAAAAGTTATTCTTGGGGTGCCTCGCTGACTCAGTCAGTTAAGCATCTGCCTTCAGCTCAGGTCGTGATCTCAGGGTCCCAGTAATTGAGCCCCAAGTCTGGCTCTCTGCTCCATGGGGAGTATGCATTTCCCTTTCCCTCTGTGCTTGCACGCGTTCTCTCACTCTCTCTCTCTCAAATAAATTAATAAGAATTAAGAGAATTGTTCTCTTTGCGATCTTTATTCTTTATTGGGCTATCAATGTTGCTCTCAACCATGTGTAAGGACATCAGAATTTCTTTGGAGGACACAGGGTAGTTGAAAGAAGTACACTCAGTATTACATACTAACACAATTTTATATTTGAAAAGTGAAAAAAAAAAAACCTGTACAATTTTCATGACAAGCTCTTGATGGATAAGTATTTTTATTTATTTTTATTTTATTTTATTTTTTTTTAGGAATTGAGATTTTTTTCATTTGAAGGTAAATCTTAATGCTATTAAATTCACAAGTATGCTAATTTAAATACCCAATTCTATTTATCTAAAACACACATTGCAAACATACAAATTATCTATTCTCTCCACATGTCAGAGCCCATTCATTTCATGGTTTGGAAATGCGGAGAATAGATTCCCCTTAAACTGCAAGTCAGCAGGTGTTTCTTTACAGTTAACTTTAGCAAAATTCATACAAAATAGTAATTAACAATGATCTTCTTTACTTGTTAACTCACAAGGAAACACCTTCAAAACTGCATTTTGTTAAAGTTTCTGTACTAAAATATAGAAAAACTGAACTACACAAATATTGAAAAGTTAAAAATTCCTTAATTTTTTATTCCTGGTACCACTACCACAATTTACAGGGCAATATACCTGATGTAATGAAAAGAAAAAGAAAAAGACAAAGCTACAACAGATAAAAGACCTCAGGAATGTACATCTAATTGACACTACATTGCATTAATCAATAGCTGCACTTTTTGCAAACTGTGGCTATGACAGTCCTGAACAAGAAGGGTTTCCTGTTTAAGCTGCAGTAACTTTTCTGACTATGGATCATCATTCCTTCTGTGGCAGATTTTTACAGTTCCTCTAATGCATTTGGGATGACTGTCTCAAAGTAACCTGCAGCTTTCCTGACAAATCCTCGCTCTCTCTCCTGCTAAGAACTGTAGCCCTTTTCTTCTGAAAATTTTTTAGAACCTTCTGCTACCATATCCACCACTTCCACCACCAGAGCCATAACCACCACCATAGGGACTGCCCGAGCTTCTTCCACCAAAACTGCCCCCCTTCATGGGTTCATAATTTGATTGCTGTTGTCCACTATAATTTCCAAAATCATTATAGTTCCCACCACCACCATAGTTACCATCACCTCCAAATCCATTATATCCACCATCACCTCCTCCGTAACTACCTCTGCTGCCACCACCACCACCACCATAGCCTCCTCTTCCACCAAAGTTTCCACCACGGCCAAAGTTACCTCCACGACCCATGAAGTTGCCAGATCCACCTCCACGACCTCTTTGTGATCCAGCAGACTGCATTTCTTGTTTAGAAAGGGCCTTTTTCACTTCACAATTATGCCCATTAATAGTGTGGTATTTCTGAACAACAATTTTATCAACTGTATCATGATCATCAAAAGTTACAAAAGCAAATCCTCTCTTTTTTCCACTCTGCCTGTCTTCCATAACTTCTATGGTTTCAATCTTGCCATACTTTTCAAAGTAGTCTCTCAAATTATACTCTTCTGTATCTTCTTTAATACCACCAACAAAAATTTTCTTCACTGTTAGATGGGCACCAGGCTTTACAGAATCCTCTCTAGAAACAGCTCTCTTTGGTTCCACTACACACCCATCAACCTTGTGTGGTCGGGCACACATTGCTGCATCCACCTCTTCAACACAAGAGTAAGTCACAAAACCAAAACCCCTGGAACGTTTTGTTTGGGGGTCTCTTATCACCACACAGTCTGTAAGTGTACCCCATTTTTCAAAATGTTCTTTTAAACTATCATCTGTAGTTTCAAAGCTCAAACCACCAATAAACAGTTTTCTCAACTGCTCTGGTTCCTTTGGATCATGGCCCTCCATTTTGAGACCGGACTCGCCTCTTCCAACTCGAGTTCAATCTGGATAAGTATTTTTAAAAGACTGCAAATTACTGATAAAAGTCCTAGTTCCTAAAGCATATAAGCAGTATCTGTAAAATTATGAAGCAGATACCAATTAGCATTATCTATTAAATTACTATTCTCAGCGTTCATAAAATCATCGTATAGAAATTATACTACTTTTGCTTTATTCAGTGCCATGTATCCAAGAAAGCCTAATCCAGAGGTCAGTGGGTATTAACCTAACAAAAACCAAAACACTCTGAGCTCCTGCTAAGCACCAGGAACTATGCCAAGGGGCTTTCATGTGTGATATCGCATTTAATCTTCTTAACCAATTAATGAATCACATGCTATTCTATGATTCTTGGCAATATGAACATATAGTATTACTAGCGTCACAAAATAGAAAATGCTCAAAAAATATTTTCACAGGTGATTGAGCACAAGACCAGGAAGCACAAGAATGCAAGTGAGGAGGGTGATATGAGCACTCTCTATCATGCCTTTTGATCTAGCATTTTCCATCTTACTTGTCTCTAGGTCCCCACTTGCTTGCCCTGAGGGAGAAACCATCCTAAATTGGAAAATGAAATCAGGGCTATTATCTTCAAGAACCTTCCATCCTCTTTAGCTCCAAAAGCCGCTCTGGTAGAATCTGCTGGTTCCCCCAATCTCTGTTCCCTCTTCTTCCTTGGACGTGGGACTCCGCATTTTTAGTGAGGCAAAATAAAGACTACAGTTCCCAACCACTACTGCCGTTAAATTCTGGACAACAGAATATAAAAACAGTCTGGTGAGACTTCTAGGAAATATCTTCAAGGAAGAGGGCATACTCTTCCTCTCTTTTCCTTCATCCAACGGGCTGAAAAACAGACAAGATGTCTGCAGTCTGAGCAGTTATCTTGGATCATGAAGTGGAACCCACATGCTAGGGATGGCTCATCAGCTGGATGGAAGGGACTGTTCATATTGTCATGCCAGCCCTAGGCAGCCTAGAGAGTTCATCTATGAGAGTTAAATGTACCTTTATTCGAGTCATTATTATTTTAAATTTTCTGCCAAGTAGCCAAATATAATCTTAACCAATATGGGAGATGAAAAGAGGAAGTAAAAATTCAGATCACTAACTTTAAGGCAGCACTGCATCGTGCTTAGGAGCATGAATTCTGGAGCCAGTTGGCCTAGGTCTAAATCCTGCCTCCCACTTACTAGCTGTTAAGACCCTAAGCATATTAGTTACACTGTGTGCCCTGATGTCATCATTATTGTCATCATCTGTGGGGATAATAACAGTACCTACCTCCAAGGGTATTGCTCTAAGTGCTAAGTGAATTATTATTCGTAAAGCACTTAAAACATTACATAGCATATAGTAAGTGCTATCTATGCATTTATTAAATAAAATAAACAAACACATTTGGAGCAGGGCCAAAGATGACACGACCAACCACAGGGGGTCTGTGGTTCATTGAAACTCACCACAGCATTTAGGAAGTGGTCCTCTGCTCTGAACCACATTTTCTTCAATGTGAGCAAGATGGTTATATCAGTAAGTTTTGTCAGGGCATATGTGTTTTGACTTCCTCTCTAAGAAAGGGCAGTGGCCAGGAAATTTTAGACCCTGGGGTCCTACAAATCACCAAGAAACATACCCATAATCTGTCATTCTCTGTAGCCTATGCACAGAGGTGTTAGTGCTTTACCTGCCAGGTAGAAGTGACAGATCTTATTATTCCCACCTGCCAGAGCACCAGATCACTTCTCAGCTGACCTGACACACTTCCAACAAAGCTGTAATAGTGTCATGAAAGAAAAATAAAAACCTTCCTCCTGTTCCTATACCTATTAAAGATAATTAGCTCCTTCTTACATCAGCCAACAAGATAAAAAAAAAAAGGAAAATAAAATAAAAAATAAAAAACACTTACATAAAAAACAAAAGTATATTGCTAACATTTAGGCCTCAGGATACCCACTCTCCTTTTCTTCTAGAAGTAATGGTTCCCCTTTGAGCTTTCAATTTAACTCACTGCTCCCTTACTTGGCAGACTTGGAAAGACCTCTTATTCTCAAAGTTTTCCCCAACTTCCCCAATTCAGTTTATGTTAACTGCACTGATGGCAGAATTGCCTTCTGGTTCTTGATAATTCAGGGACAACATCTGGGAGAATGACCAGATCATTCAATGAACCCAACCAAGGGCTACAAGTCAGAGTCTATCCCGGCCACTCAGCACTCCTACAAGAACAGCACACCAGGGACGCCTGGTTGGCTCACTGGGTTAAAGCCTCTGCCTTCGGCTCAGGTCATGATCCCAAGGTCCTGGGATCGAGCCCCAAATCCGGCTCTCTGCTCAGCGGAGAACCTGCTTCTTCCTCTCTCTCTGCCTGCCTCTCTGCCTCCTTGTGATCTCTGTCAAATAAAAAAAATAAAATCTTAAAAAAAAAAAAAAAAGAGCAGCACACCACCCATCTAAAGAGTTCACACGGGAGAGACGCAGTGAAAATTTGTAGGATTTGACAACCATTATTTTAATAAGTATAACAATAGTGTATTTTTCCAATAAACCATTCCGGCCCATCTGAGAACGCTGACAGGAAAAACATGGTTTGACCCACTGATATTCCAATGATACCTCTGGTTTGATATAAATGCCTTAAATTCTTCTGCAGCTATCAAAAGAATAAAGTCACCTCTCAGCTGCCCTGGTCACCCCATGTCCCTTCCCAACCCAATAATCCCCATCCCCCTTATACACATGCAAGGGACAAAATAAAGGTCAGCAAACACTTTGCCTTAGCTAAAAAGCAAACTGCTGATAGTCCTGGGAGAGAAATAAAAGTAAAATGTAGCAGGCAGTCCTGTGTTTCTAAAACTCCGCATTCTTTACTGAAGAACGATAAAAAAGAATTTGAACAACTTCCCAGAAGTGAGCAATAACCAGGACAGATGAAACTGGTTTAAGTCCACCCACTCCATCACTGACGTCTGCCAGTAAGAGCCCTGGGACGGTGGTAGATCCCCACAACACAGAAGGCTGGAACTGAACCCTCAGATCCCTTGATCGATCACCCGTCCTCCAGTGAACAGCGACAACGCTGGTTCGGTCCGAAAAGAGAAAATGGGCCCAAAGCTCAAATCTGTAGGACAATGGCCGAAAAGCAGTCTCCGTAGTTTAAAGCTAAGGAACCTGCTAGAAGGCAGCATCTCCCCGCGCGTCTCTGTCGACAGGACGATTGCCCCACCACACCGCCGGGCCCCTCGCCTGTATCTGGTCAATTTCCTCTTTTCATTCTCCGCTCACTCCTCCCCCACCAAATAGGTTCTGATTTATTTCTTCAGTCCGCAGAGCTTCTCCATCTCCAGTCCTCAGGGGCATTCCAAAATCTTGCCAAGGGGCTCTGCACTGTGAAGTTTCTCCCTTTCGCAGCCTTCCAACCCCCCTTCTCCCTCTCGCTGTGCGAAGCTGCTAACTCCCCCGGACAGGCCCACCCTCCCCGAAGGCGGGGGCGGCGGCGGCCCCCACCCCGCTCTCACCCCCTGAGGGTCCTTGACGAAGTAGCTTCCGCTGGAGCCCTGGTAGATGCGCTCGGGGAAGATGCAGCGTTCGATGGCCAGCTCGGCCTGCCGCACTACCGCCTCGAACTCGGGGTCCTCCGGGAACTCGTTCCGCTCGCGGTGGGCCTGCGCGGCGTGGGCCGCCGCCGCCGCCTGGGCGGCCAGGGCTTGGGCCTGCGCCGCCACGGTTTGGGTCTGGCCTTGGGCCGCCGCGCCCCGAGCCCGGTCCAGCAGCGGCTGCCGCTCGCGGTCGTGGCCTGGCGAGCCCGGCGGAGAGGGGGCCGGGCCGGCAGCCGCCGCCACTCGGACCGCGCCCCCCGGCACCTGCGGAAAGTGAGCGCCCGAGCCGGACGGGAAGGTGTAGTCCGGGGGTTGGGCCCGCTCGGGGGACACCAGTGGGCTCGTTTCGTCCATCCCTCAGGCCGCCGGCTCCGAGTCCCGGGGCGCTCCACACAGCTGAGCTCCCGGCCGGGACCAATCCGCGAAACCCCCAACCCACGCCTGGCCAACCAGGTCGCGGCGCCTCGTTGGCCCCGCCCTTACCTAGCCTGTTTACTTGGCGACGAGTAGGTACGACCCCTCGCGCGCGAACGGTAGCCAATCAGAACCAGCGTCTACGTAATCGCGCCCTCCGCATTTTTCGCCCGTCACCGTCTGTGGAGATTGCGCATGCTCCAGGAGCCAAACCCGGGTCAGACACGCCCCCTGCTCTAACCCGCCCAGCCCCTCCCCTATCTTCAACTGCTGACCTGTCTTTAGGAGCCTTCAGTGAAGTAGCCTATTTAATCTGTCATTTGTTGAGTGTGTACTATGAACCAACCTGCTATGAAAGTAGAGAAATCTAATCTTTGTATCTGCATTCATTCAATCGTGCATTCATAAAATACTTATCAAGCACTTACTATGTCCTAAGTTCTAGAGAGACAAAACTGAAGCAAAGAAACAAAAATCCCTAATCTGGGGGCCTGGGTAGCTCAGTGGGTTAAAGCCTCTGCCTTCTGCTCAGGTCATGAGGAATCGAGCCCGCCATAGGGCTCTCTGCTCGGCAGGGAGTCTGCTTCCTCCTCTCTCTCTCTGCCTGCCTCTCTGCCTACTCGTGACCTCTGTCAAATAAATAAACAAAATCTTAAAAAAAAAAAAACCCTAATCTACCGAAATAAAAAGGTTTTTAAAAACCACAGGCCTAATGCAATTTACACAGTGTCCAGCCTGAATGCTCTATGCTTCTTTGTCCATTGAAGAAAGATATGATCTTATTAGACTAGAAAGTACCCTGAGCTGAGTACATGACTGTTTTATTCACCATTGTAAAACGTTGCTGTCTAGACACGATAGGGACTCTGTATATTTTTATTAGCGGAAAAGAGAAGGAAAAACTGTCCTTGCCCTCAAGGGGAAGACATACAGCTCTCTGAGGCAGCAGAAGAAAAGGGGCCAACACTGAAAACTGAAAACTCATAATAGAAGTTCAGCGATTTGCGGGTAGGCTAGAAAGTCAGCAAAGGCCTTAAAGAGGTCATTGTATGAGATAGGTTTTAAAGAAAGAATGTAATTAGATAAGGGGGGGAGGGAGAGAAAAAAGGGAATCAGAGTCATTTGAGTTTGAAGCCCACCTCCAAGCTTAAGCCTGTTTTCTCTCCTGCAAAATGGGAATTATCATCCCTTCCTCAATTAAATAAGAATGACGATAATGTATATAAAACCCTGAGCATAGTGCTTAGTACCTAAGAAGTGCACTAAAAATGATCATCCCTCCCTCAAATAAGAATCAAGATAGTAAAACACTTAGCACAGTGATTAGTATACTCAACAAATGGTACCACCTTTTTTATCATTGATGTTGTTTTTGTTTTTGTGCTTAGAATCACCAGCAGACTAGAGACATGGGTTTTCACAGGAGATAATCAGCCATATTGTAACCAATATTTCATAGTCATTCTTCCTTGAATCAAATTACTGTCACAGTACTAGAAATACTAGAAGTACTGAACTGAATTGAATTGCACTGAAAAAACTATTGTTTAATTGTATGTGTGAGAATGCCTTAAACTTTTTTTGGCATGTAAACCGTTTTAGGCAAAGGTCCATACAGTTTTCCATACAGTTTCCTCTTTCAGTTAGAAAACATGTATTTTCCTTTCCAACCAGACACCAAATAATTCAGTAATACTTGCCTCTTGCATCCCAGGGGTCACATCCACAAAGATGATCTCTTGGTATTATTCATCTCATTTAGCCCATAAGCTTCAAATTATTGTCAAGGAAAGCTGCAAGATTTAGAGTTCTCCCTTGAGAACTCTAAGGGAAATTCTCAAAATTTATTTTTGATTCTACCACTTAGAACTTGTTCTACTGGACCAAAAAAAAAAAAAAAAAAAGAAGTCAATATATTCCCTATTACCTATGATAAGCTAGCACTCACCAAATACTAAGCACATGCCAGACATTGTTTCTTGTAAATTACATGAATATAACTGAATTACACATAAACGGCATTACAGCTCTTATGATTTTGGAAAATGAGTAAAGTGACTTGCCTGTGGTCATGCAGCTAGGCAGACTAGCTCAATGCTTTTAACACTATATTGTCTCTTGTTAAATATCTCTATGAGATGTGTTTCATATGTGTTGTGGGAAGCAAAGGCAAAAGAAGAATTAAATTTCCCTGCTACTTAAAGCCCACTCACAAGTACTTAAAACAGGCAGAGTGACATTCCTCTAGGAACTCAGCTGTCCTGACATTAATACTTTGCTAAGGGAAAATGCTTAGCTTAACATTATCCCAACAATCCCCACACCCCATCCTGTAAGTCTACTTCAACATATAAAAATTTCTTTGGAAACTTCCTTTATCTCTACCCCCAAGATATCTCTTGGCCATCACCCCAAGCCTATGACCCACCAATACACATCTGAAGGGTCTCATGACTAAGGTTTTATTAGAAAGTAATAAATGACCTTTTCCTAACAAGAGCTAGTCCCCTCAAAGTCTTGGAAACCTTATTTCCAAAATTCCTTAGAGACTTACACTATGCCTAACCCCCTCACAACTTGAAAGTATATAACCAGCCACTCTTCATTACCCCAGTACAGCTCTTTCTGCCCACAGGTACTGTCCCTGTGCTCTGTCCCTATGCTTTAATAAAACCACCTTTTTACACTGAAGATGTCTCAAAAATTCTTTCTAGGCCACTGGCTCTGAACCCCAACATCTTTCCTACATCATTATGTACTCCCTTTCTTTCCATATTCTCTGATGCCACATTACTTTTGAGATTCTCAAGATGTCTTTTCTACATTATTAAAATAGCTTGAGTTTGCTCTTCTGCTTCCAATCTCTCTGGTATCTCCGAACATCACTACCAGATTAATTTTCTTTTTTTTTTTTTAAAGATTTTACTTATTTGACAGACAGAGATCACAAGTAGGCAGAGAGGCAGGCAGAGAGAGGAGGAAACAGGCTCCCCGCTGAGCAGAGAGCCTGATTCGGGGCTTGATCCCAGGACCCTGGGATCATGACCTGAGCAGAAGGCAGAGGCTTTAACCCACTGAGCCACCCAGGTGCCCCCCAGATTAATTTTCTTAGAACACTGGTTTCCTGGTGTCACTGCTCTGTTTAAGAAACTACATTTTTATTGCAGTAAAATGATGTATTTTTATCATTTTAACCATTCACTAGCATACAGTTCAGTAACATTAAATACATTCACAATGTTGCATAACCATCACCACTGCCTATACCCAAAACTTTTTCATCAACCCAACAAAAACTCTTGTATCCATTACACAATAACTCCCTCTTTCTCTAGCTCCTGGTAACTTCTACTTTCTGTGTTTATGAATTTGCCCATTCAAAACACTACATTTTGCAAACCAAATTTTCCCCAAATTTTTCAGGTTTCTCCATAACTTAACCACACAATCTACCTAACCTTATTTCATCAAATTTCCTAATATACATTCTCTAATCTAATAAGGTCTTCTTATTAGGTTAGATTAGATTTTCTTTTTAATCTAATAAGATTTTCTTGACATGCCATTCTCTCAAAGACTGTGTTTTTATTTATAGTCGCTACCACACAGTTTAGCATGCTTAACCATTGAGTGTTAGAGCTGGTTGAATCTTATAGGTCTGCTAGTCCAACTCATTTTACAGACTGGAGAGCTTAATAACTGGCTTGAGTCACACACACTTGGTGGCAGACATGGAATTTGAACATAGAATCCAAGTCTTGTCAAACAATGTAAAACTGGTGTTTATGGAGCATAATGTCACAGACACAGTATTGAGAATTTTTTTTTAATAATTTTATTTTTTATAAACATATATATATATTTTTCCCCCAGGGGTACAGGTCTGTGAATCTCCACGTTTACACACTTCACAGCACTCACCATAGCACATACCCTACCCAATGTCCATAACCCCCCCAACCCCCCTCTGCCCAGCAACCCTCAGTTTGTTTTGTGAGATTAAGAGTCACTAATGGTTTGTCTCCCTCCCCATCCCAACTTGTTTCATTTACTCTTCTCCTACCACATTAACCCCCCATGTTGCATCTCCTCTCCCTCATATCAGGGAGATCATATGATAGTTGTCTTTCTCTGATTGACTTATTTCGCTAAGCATGATACCCTCTAGTTCCATCCACGTTGTCGCAAATGGCAAGATTTCATTTCTTTTGATGGCTGCATAGTATTCCATTGTATATATATACCACATCTTTATCCATTCGTCTGTTGATGGACATCTAGGTTCTTTCCATAGTTTGGCTATTGTAGACATTGCTGCTATAAACATTCGGGTGCACGTCAGTATTGAGAATTTTACACTATATTCTCATATAAGTGCTAGGGAGTCTTTATTATTATTATTATTTTCATTTTCTATCTCACATATGAAGAAACACCCAAATTGGAGCGGTTTGTTTACTGTCTTCATGCACTTGCCTTCTTTTAATAATTAAATATAGTCTTGATGTTTTTCCCTGTGCATGAATCTTTTCTTCTCCACATCTAGGCAGTAAGTCCCATGAGGGCAGCGATCCTGTCTTTTCTAGCTGCATTCACATTGATAAGTAAATAAATGGATAAAAGGATTGGTGTACGTAATATTTGGAGAATTCGCTCCAATCTCGGTACTACATTTTAAACACAAAGATCTGAGTAATGACAGCACAACTCCTTAAAACGAGTTGAATGCGTAAATGTCCTGGTATCACAGTGCTGGCATGGGGCTGACACTCATTAAACCTCAGCTGCCTGGTCCAGCATGTTACAATTCACAAAGCTGAAACTAAAAATCCAGGTTTGGGTTCTGCGCTTAAACTCCAGGGAGGAGTCATTTACAGCTCTGAAGGTCCGCGTAGGACCCGAAGCGCTCGAGTTGGTGGTCCCTGATTCTTCTGACCCAGGTTTGGTTTTGTTTTGCTTTTGTCCACATTTCGGTTAGGATGTCTCTGAGCAGACGAGACCTGAGGTCTCCCTCAAGTGGCCGAGGTA